GTTTTACTCCACCAGCCACGGCCTTTAAACTCAAACTCCTTGGCGTTACTCAGAAAGGGTTTGCATTTGAAAGACTGTCTCGTCGTTTCATCCAACCAAGTACTGCGTTTCTTAGGGGACGATACGCAAGTAATGACTTCACCCTGCCGTTGAACAGTCTTACTATCATCCAGTTTGAGATCTGCAACTTTGGACCCAGTGAGCGTTTTGAAGTCTTGGTTAGGAAGGACTGGATGAATTACGTTTCACAGCCAAGTGCCGGTTCCCAGCGACCAACGTTGGTTGGCAAGGGTCGTTGTGTGGCTTTGTTCCTTCGCGCGAGGGCCACGCGCGTTGCAGATGTGCACAAAACCAATACAGTAATTTTGATCGTTAAAGGGCAGTCCTCTGGTATTGTCCTATCACGTTTAATGAGGCTTTTTGTCGTCAATCCAAAGAGGTCCTGATCAGAGGCATGATTTCATCTATTTGCTTTCTCGATTGATATCAAAGGACTAATTAGACACTAACGCTTGGATTATCTCATTAGGAGTTGGTGAAGAAGTGAGTTGCAGTAAATCTACTTTAAGACCCTTCCCCTCCTCCCCTATAATCAATAATTCTCCGATCCACCCCCCTGTGTATTAATCAACTTTACGTAGATGTCAGAATGACAACCTAAACATAAATGGCTTTTTGTTGAAGAGAGAAAAGTTTGGCAGTTTTTGTGTAAAATAACTACAAAATTGATCAAAACTAGGAAACAGAGAAATAAAGAGAGGAAAAAGCTGAACAGAAAACCAACAATTTTTTCTTGACAATTATGAAAAGGTCTCCTCATCATATAAGCCACATAAACCGGGCTGCATCGAACAACGCTTTTCCTTTGTCCAGATCACAATATGTTTTTATGATTAGACGACGGGTTAGCTCTCTATTGAGAAATCGTGATATTGGCGATCGGAAAGGCAAATTTTCGCATTTGAACCTCTCAGTACGAATGAAGAATCCAAACTGAAAAGTCGTGCCTCGTTCATCTCTTTCAGCGGTCGGAAAGTTTTTCCTATTAAACAGTGATGGGTATAAAATCTCAGCCAGGAAAATTTACTGAAATTTCCTGTTAGGAAGTCTCAGCTACCATAAATTAGAAAATTGTTCATCGCCTGTGGGAAGGGGCAAAGAAAGGGGCCGGGGGAGTAGAGATTTTGGAGAGGATCACATGACTCTTAGAGGTTACGACGGGGATCGGATATGGCTACAGAGTATGGGGGGGGAGGGACTACCAATTAATCACCAATGAGACGGGGATCATAAGAATGTTAAAGAGCCTTATGGGGAATCTGGTAAATTTCGTCTGACACAATACATCCTAAATCCTCTGACACTCACCAAATCTCCCCCCCCCCCCCCCCCCATCTCTCCCAGACGATAAATGATCACCGGTTCCTTATTGATAACCTCTTTTTTCGCATGCTGTACCAAGTTCCCCCGAAACTGTTTTGTTTTGTACAATTTATGGGAAAATTGGTTGTTCAATATGACTGAATTATATAAATCTACAAAAGAATACTTTTCTCGATCGGCAATGCTTCCGCAAAACGTTTTTTGATCTCTTCTCTTTTCATTTCTCCTTTTTTTCTTCGGTTTGTATACTTCTTTACCTCCAGTGATGTTTTCCATTCAAATTGTGATATAAAACAAGTCTTAGACATATACAAAAATTCTCCGTTTTATTTAAACTAATATTAATACACACTGAGTGAGATAAAATCGATCTCGGTCTTTGTTAAAAAAAAATAGATAATGATAAAAATAATTAATGTAATAACTAAAATAACAAAGTAAAAAAATATTTTTTTTGGGACACCAGAGCCTTTTCGAAGTTATTTGTTGTTCAAAAGAAAAATGAAATTGAGAGAAAAGGATGTTTGATAAAGAATGGACAAACAGGTTAGGAATGAACCATCAGCCAACTTGTGCTGTGCACCGCTGGTTTCACAAGACAGAGAGCTGGTTCGTCAAGCTACCGTTACGCTGTTACCCTTTTTCACAGAAAAACACTTTTCCTAATCCAGCCGTCTTTGACTTCTTTGACTTAATTTTTTACATTAATTCTTATATTTATCTTTCATTTATTTTTCTTAAACGAATTTATAGTCAAATTCATATGATACACTTTTCTTTTTTTAACACAAAACCTTCGAAAACTCAAAATCCAATTTTTATATACAAAGTTCATAAATGTCAGCTTCTTCTTTGCAAACCATCATCAAGGTCAGTCACGTATCTTTTAGCGCACGCCTACTGATATCACTAACTTATCCAGTACTTACTGGACAGTTTATGGACAAAATTAAAACTTTAATCAAGAAAAAAAATCGTTATCGACAGAACTTCGTTTCACAAATCATCAAGGCCAGTCACGTATCATTTAGCGTACGTCTACCGGCCTAACAAACATAACCCATACCTCATTCATATTATGTGCAGCCAAAACTGAACCAACCGTTTTATCAACGAAAAAGTTTATAAACAGCATTCCTTTCCTTAGAAACCATCAGCAACGGCCACTCGCGTATCATTTAGCGCACGCCCACAGGCCTCGTCAACTTATCTAGTACCTCCGAGTAATTATTAAGAGCAGCCAAGAACTAATTAAACAAGTTTCGTAAAAAAAAATCAAACGCCATTTCTTTCCTGACAAACCATCAGCAATGGCCAGCCGCGTATCTTTTAGCGTACGCCCACTGACCTCACCAACTTCTCCAAATACTCGTATTTATTTCTGCGAGTAGTACAGAACAAAACCGACAAAATTTGTCGAAAAAAAATTATTAAGTAACAACACTTCAATCATTATATGAAAACCCCAGAACTAAAATGATCGACACTTTTTATCAATTTCCTTATAAACCATCAGCAATGGCCATTCACTTATAATTTGGCATACGTCCACCGGCCTTGCCAACTTATCCAATACCTCATTCATTTTAAGAACTACCTTCTCTTACAAACCATTAGCAATGGCCGGTCGCGTCTCTTTCAGCGTACGCCCACAGGCCTTACCAACGTATCCAAATACTCGTATTTATTTGTACGAGCAGCAAAGAAATAAATCAACAAACTTTATCCGAAAAAAACTTTTTAAAGTACCATTCCTTTCCTTCAACCATCAGCAATGGCTAGTCGCGTTAATTAAGCGTACGCCCACTGGCCTTACCAACTTATCCAATACCTCAATCATTTTATGAGAACCGAAGAACTAAAAAACCAACAATTTTTATCCCTTTTTTACAAACCATTACCAATGGCCAGTCGCGCATCTTTTAGCGTACGCCCACTGGCCTTACCAACTTATCCAATACCTCAATCAATTTATGAGAACCGAAGAACTAAAAAACAACAATTTTTATCCCTTTTTTACAAACCATTACCAATGGCCAGTCGCGCATCTTTTAGCGTACGCCCACAGGCCTTACCAACTTATCCAACACCTCAATCATTTTATGAGAACCCAAAAACTAAAAAATGCAACAGTTTATATCCCTTTTCTTACAAACCATCAGCAATAGCCGGCCGCGTATCATTTAGCGTGCGCCCACTGGCTTTAACAACATATTTCATATCTTATTCATTTTATGAGAATTAAAAAACTAAAAAAAACCTTTATTTTTATCCCTTTTCTTATAAACCATCAGCAATAGTCAGTCGCGTATCATTTAGCGTACGCCCACAGGCCTCACCAACTTATCCAAATACTCGCATTCATTTGTACGAGCAGCAAAGAAATAAATCAACATATTTTATCCAAAAGAAAACTTTTTAAAGTACCATTCCTTTCCTTACAAACCATCAGCAGTGGCCAGTCGCGTATCATTAAGCGTACACCCACTTGCCCTACCAACTTATCCAAATACTCGTATTCATTTGTACGAGCAGCAAAGAAATAAATCAACAAACTCCATCCGAAAAAAACGTTTTGAAGTACCATTCCTATCCTTACAAACCATCAGCAGTGGCCAGTCGCGTATCATTTAGCGTACGCCCACTGGCCTTACCAACTTATCCAATACCTCAATCATTTTATGAGAATCCAAGAACTAAAAAAATCAACAATTTTTATCCTTTTCCTTACAAACTATCAGCAGTGGCTAGTCACGTATCTTTTAGCGTACGTCCACCGGCCCTAGCAACTTATTCAATACTTCATTCATGTTATGAGAACCCAAACCTAAAAATCAATAATTTCCATCCCTTTCCTTACAAACCATCAGCGATGGCCAGTCGCGTGTCCTTTTGCACGCACACCTCTCATCGGCCTCACTTATGATTACATTTTTTTTTTCCACTATAAGAACAAAATCAAAACTTAAACTGCAATTTTTATGAAATCAATATATCATCAAAACCTCTCCGTTACAAACCATTATCAACAGCCAGTCGCGTTTCCTTTTGCTCACGCAACCTTTAGCGGCCTTACCAACAATTCCAAAGCCTCATTTTATAAACAAAATCAAAACCTTATGCAGTAACCAAAAGTAAAAGAAAATATGCACCAAAACTTTTTTTTTTGTTTTTGTTTTGCAAGCCATTACCAAACGTTCCTTTGCTCTCCCTGCCAGATATAAAATCGAACCAAAGAGATGTTTCATCAAGCACTTCTCGAGTTCATTTCAAAAACATTAGTTGCTTACTGACCTCAAAAATGAAACAAATCGCTTCCTTAAACTGTCTGTGAGAATGTGACAAGTTATCGACTGGTGTGAACATGTCAACCACGTACAATGGCTCTGCCTCCAAACCTGATGTTACGACGATAGGACAAAATGAGGAAAGAACACTCAGCTATGTTAGGTTGGGTGGAAGGATTAAGACACAAGTCAGACATCATTTAGACTGTTCGAAGATATTTCACATGTTCTTCTGATTCTTGCTCTACTCAGGTCTCTGGTGTCCCAATTTTAAAAATTTTGATTTTTAACAAATAACCAAAAAAAAAAGAATATATCAGAAAAATTTACTCCCCCCCCTTTCCTTTGAAGTGCTCAGCGGAATAGCAATCTAATGGCGTCGATGGCACGCCAAAAGAATCGCTTCACTTCTCTGTAGCATGCAATGAAACCGCTGGTCAGTTCATGGCGGAGTAAAGCATTCTGCAAAAAAGGAAAATAAGAGGTTCAGTTTGGTATCGGATCTAAGTGCCACGAAACATTTCGCTGATATATCACCACGAAAGAAGGGATTGAATTATTCAAGATTACTCCAGATTTCCTCGGAGTCATGAAATAAATTAAGAAATTTCTTACCTGCTGATAAAGAATTCGGATGTCCCTAAAAGTTGGAAAAAGTTTCTATTAGAACGAATTTTTATCTTAAAAAAGATATTTTTCAGTTTTTAAAAATATTTTATTACCCAAATATTTAGGATCATTTCTCCCATTATCTACATACATATAACCAATAAGCAAAGCAAAACAAACTAACAAACAAAGAAAAAACAACAAAAAACCAAGGACTAGCTACCCATAATAACAGTATTTTCCTTTCTGTCACTTTCTCTGACTTTCGCTTTAAGAACAGCAAACAATAACTCACATTTTCATATTGGCTTTTGTTTCCTTGTCGGCCTGGTCATAAAAAAAAGTCAGAAAAGTTAAAACTAAAATTGCGGTACTTCCATTTCTCTATTATATATTTTAATCTGTATTGTAAGAAGTTAAACGACTCTATCTGTTTGGTCAATTTTTCCCTTCCTCAAGAAAAAAAGGACTGGGAAAGAGGCTGACTCGATGTGGTGTCAGATTCTTTTCCCTCATGTTTTTGGTCGCGCGCAAAGCATTACCCGACGTTCTGCTTCGTTTCGGGAAGTCTAAGAAACGAGGCTGGCTTACGTGTCTTTTTTAATGTCGTAAAAGGAAATTCTCGAGTTGATTGATCAATATGTACCTCATTGATCTCGCCTCTTCTTTCGCATTCGGCTCTGTAGCTTTCAAGCTGAGCAGTGAGTGACTGCAGTTCCGCCTTTTGTTGTTCCTGAGTCTTTTTCAACCTGAAGACGTAATATAATGAATTACGGCAATGCTAAAGAAGATATCTCGTAAAACTTCATAGGGTCTATTATATTTCCCCAATTCAAAACTGGTAAATTGATGTTCTCATTTCAAACATGACATACATTAAATACTGTGGGACTTTTTTGTAGGATGCTGCTTCGAGAGTATTAATTTTAAGTGCCGCCTGAAATACCTAATGAGGTTTACATTTACACACGCTAATGGACCGGACATTATTTATCACGTGGGTGGGGAGAGCATTCGGAGGATTTTGGTTGTTTCACTGTAAAATTTACATGGTCCATCATAAGGCTCTGTAATATTCCATTGCGCCCCCCCCCCCCCCCCCCGCTCATTGGAAGTTAATTGCTAGTCAGTCTCCTATAATCCTCACTTTATAATCTGTTGGCGACGACTAATCCCCGTTGCATTCCGCCTGAAAACCACAACCCCTCTTAAAAATTATCCGCCCTCGCCTTCATAAGCCATGAATTACGCCTGTGACTGACAAAAAATCTTTTTTATTGATATTTTACTTACTCCTTGTTACTCTCTGATATGGCCTTCTTGTATTCATTGATCTACAATTTACAAAGGAAAAGAATGTACTTGCAAACTTCTAATCTGAAAGTTTTGGAGTAGCCATCCTTGCGCTTAACAGATTTCATTCCCGTTACGCAGTTCACATCAACTTAAAAGAACGTAAGCCTGGCAATAAATTTAAATATCAGTGACGTTGCTGAGCAAATGGCTGAAAGAAGATCAATTCAATGCCTAAGCAGAGCAAAAAAAAAAATTGACCGAAGAACTTCACCAATAAGTTCTAGATCAAAATTTGTTTATCTAAAGAACAATTTCTATCTACAAGTCTGAACGTTAAGAGAGTTTTCATTATCTTGTCACGATTGCAGATGAAAAACTATCTTTCTCACTTTCTCTACCTAGCTTAAAATCGACCATCTTCCTGATGCAACGTCAGAAATTTTTCGTCATTGTTGTTGATATTATTTGTTGTTGTTGCTTTTGATTTATTTGTTGTTGTGCCTTTCTTATTTTTTTTGGTATCTTTATCAATGAGATTTGGCATAATAAAAACTCACCTGTAATCTCAGCGAGGTATTCTTTACCTCATCTGCTTTATAACGTCTAAGGAAAATGAAACTAGAAATTAGTGAACATGGCGACCAAGTCAACCAGTCAGTCAAATTAAACATCCAACCCTCTCGCATATAAATTTACGCGAAATGCAATAAATCTGTCATTGATATAATTTGCCGATGTCAGTCCTTCGGGCTAAATTTCACGAACTACTTTCATTCTGCTTAAAATAGAAAGAGAGAAAGCGGAATAGCGGCCAAAAATTGTTGTAACATGTTTAATCTATCGGTTAAATTTCCCATGTGTTTTTTGGGATGTAACTGAAATTTACTTACAGTTGCATGTATCCAATGCGAGTGTCCGTCTGAAAAATAAAACAAAAAAAATAAGGAGGAGGAATTTGCTGTGTGAAGATAAAATTTAACTTATCTCCCCCTAAGGTTATGCAGAATTCTCATGATCCCTTACTGACAGTCAATTTTCCATAGTACCCCCGTAATACTCTATTAGCGACGAGTGACCCCCCACCGTTCCTCACGAGAACCCTGCGATCCCCCTCAAAGTCGCAACCCCGCACCACCGGGAATAAATAATGACTAGCTAGTTCCTTCTTAAACTCAATCCACTGACCGTGCCAAGCCTAATTTCCAGTTTAGATATGGTCATCTCTTGTTGGAAGAACTTATCCCCAAGCCTCTCCTTTCCATTCCGCAGTTTTTCTATCTCAGTCTTCTGTTCGGTTATCTCAGTGGTGAGACCTGTTAGACTAGATTGCATCCCAGCGCCTTCATTGTTCAGCCTAGTGATTTTCTCCTCGAGCTCGGCTTCTTTTCTAATTAATACGAGAGATCAAAGACGAAAAACAGGTTAAATAAATCAGATTAAGACTAAGGAAAGGGTATTTTTATACGGACATCCAATGGCGCTATTGTTTGTTATGCCCTGGGCTCTTTCCATCGGATAGTTTAAATTTCGCATGGCAAGTGTCAACTCAGGCGAGAATTTTTCGATGGAACAACATTTGTTTAAGGGTGGTATCCTTGGGTATAAATGTAGCTCAAGAGATTTGAAGACAAAAATTTTTGGAGGGGGGAAGAAGGTGACTGATACTCACTGGAACAAATGATCGCGCTGACTTCAAAGTTTAGGTTAGAATAACAAATTTTATGGTTACTTCTGAAACCTCTCGCATAAAGAAACTGGATCAGTTGTTCCTTTTAGGTCAACGCAATTGAGGTGGGTCAATTGATAACAGTAAACAATATAATCAACAACCATAAGCCAGCTTTGTTTGTAAAAGTTTTAAACTAACATATCAAGCATCTATGTGAAATTACACTTACCGATCGTAGTTCCTTCTCTCTTGCTAAATAAATAGAACAATAAATTATAATGAATTAAGGGGTAAAGTCTCTTAAGAAACTATGGTGCTGCGTCGGTGGGGGTGTATAACAAAATAATTTTGGTTTTATCTACTTAGTTGATAATGTAAACTGATTTCGAGCGTTCTTCGTCAGAGCTCGAAACGTCAGCTTCGAAACTCTTTAGGTGGCCAATTTACGTAATCAACTCAGTTGAAAAAACCAGAATTATCTTAATAAATTATAACGCTCTTACACTTGCAGCAGGAATTATAATTACATACATATCTTTTATTCGTTCAATAACTCAAATTTCTACTTGTTTCCAGCTTGTGCTCTCAATATGCCTCTTTTACAAGGTTGCTTGTGATTGGTTTATCTCTGTCCTGACCTCAGTTCCCTCATTTTTCAATATTGTTACAAAAGTGCGGGAAAATAGGGAGAACGACGCATGCGTACCAAATTTACTCTGCACTAGTCCCCTAATTCTATCAACCAAGTTCTGTGGGGGAGATCTGGGCTTAAATAATCTAACATTTACAACTGAAGTCAAAAAATATAACACTTACATTCCACTACATACCTGTAAAATAAGGTTAACTTTGCAGCCCTCTTTTTGGGCAGCCTTAAACTTCATACTTAGATTATGCAGATTCTCTTCTTCTTTCTCTAACCTTTAAAAGATAAATATTTCAGATCCAATGTAAATTGCGGATATTTAGACTGTAATTTGAGTGTTAAGCAGACGAGATAAAGATAAGTGTTGTAGACTAAGAGCAGTCAATTTTATGTAGACTGCCTTTTCATACTCGTTGGCGACGACTGATTCCTCCTCTGTTCTCCGTGAAAACCATGCGATCCTCCAATATCCTCCAAACCCCAACGCCTCCCCGCCTCCCCGCCTCCCCCCCTCCCGCTATAATTGATAACTAGTATGGCTAAATTTCTCTTAGACTGCACATCTCCGTCGAGTGAAAGTTAGAAAGGTCTCTTTTTTTACATCTATTCTAAACTGAAAAATCACATCTCACCAACGATCACCGATAAATAATGGCTGATGGTTTTTAAGTTTGGGTTTCTCTTCACATAATTCCGGACGTAGTAAATAATCGTAAGAAAAACGAGTTTTCATACCATGGACAAATCAGTGTAGTTAAGAATACAAATGACTATGAATAAACGAAAACTTATCTCACTTTTCGGACATCGCCTTTTCGGAAACCTTCTTTTCTTTCAACTGCGAGAGAAGAGAGCAGCACTTGTTAGGCTATCTTTCTTAAAGACAGAGCAACTATGGCGATCCCTGTTTAGTTTCCCAGCTGTAATCCAAATTGCGCTTCAATAGAGTAATTTTAAATAAGTGTCCAGAGTCATTCGGGATATAGTATGTACTGTTTCAACCGTGTGTGACTAGCCCAGAAAAATCACGGCATGCACTCCCTCAACCAATCAGCTGCAAGGTTTCAAAAAAACTCGACGCATTCACTTGCGTTTTCCCGCGCTTCAAAGAGCTCATATGGGCTCCTCGTGATAATCAGCTTTGCTTTGATTGGCCGCGTTAATTTACTCTGGTTGCAGTTTCACGAAACTCCATCGAAGAAAGTCCAAGAGCTTAAAACTAGATACTCCTACCTCTTTTTTCAACTCCTTTTTTAAGACGTCGTGATCCCGTATTTTCCTACATAGTAAGAGAGAATATATCAATTCAATATGTACTTTTCTAAATAGGTATGCATTCCACCCTTGACCCTAATAAACAGCCGTAGTACTTTATTCCATTTTAAAGAAAATACCACTAAAGTGGTAATAAAAAAGATCTTTGAATATTTGACAATGTTAGACTTCAATCGACCAAACTTCAATCGAGTCCCACGTTTTTTATTCCCCCATAAAAAAAATAAATTTATATGACATGAGTTTGCGCTTTGTATTGTTTAACAAATAGATCCCATGTTGCTGTGCGTATATTCCGTAATAAATCACAGATGACGTCATGTTTGTTAAGAACCAAAAATTGGCATATGAGGCGTAGTTGTATGTCACAGATGTTCTTACCATATTTTGACGTCTGTGATCTATCTCTGGACAGACCACAGCAACATAAAATTTATAAGTGGTATATAATAAAGTAGAAAAAAAGGTGGTTAATGGTGACGTCATCTATGCGTTTGTCATCCAATAGATCATAAGAAAGAATGAAACTGCGTGCGTAATTCAGCGTGAAGACGAGTCTTGCGCTCCTATCCTCGCGTGTGACTCGGGCTTCGCACTCGTCTAACGCTCGTCACCGTTCGCCTAAAAAAGGAAAAATTAGGCCAGGTTACGGTTCGTCATTCAAAAACTTTGCTAAATACTCACTGCACTTGATACACCATTGTCTTGTTGAGTTGGAAATTTTTTGTCTTTTGATTCGTCAACGCCGTTTCTGCCTCTCTGTGGATGAACGAAAAAGCGTTTGGAATCCACATCTTGCATTAATTAAAAGACAAAACAAATTTGAACTACTAGTCTACGAATTTAATTTAATTTCTTCCGAAAATTAAACTGAAGCCTAGCTTATAAATCGCATCATGTTTGTGACAAATTAATAGATATCCGTGTGAGAGAAAACCTCAAACGCTTGAGAACTTATCATCGGACCCGATCATATCCGAAGGCACACGAACACTTCCGAAGACGTTTCAAAAGTTTCCGAAGACGTTCCAAAGTCTTATGACGCAAATTTGTCTCCAGTATTTCACACTTTCACTTAGATTTGGTTAAGCTTATACTTACTTAAGTTCTGCTGTAAGTGCCTCTATTTGCTTCTTTTGCTGGGCATCAATTTCTTCTAACGTCTAAAATGAAAAATAATATTCAAACAGTAAGAAACCAGTTGTTATTCATCAATGGTGGTGGGGGGGGGGGGGAGAGAGAAGGGACGCCGGAGGATTTTTTTGGGGGATCACATGGTTTCAAGGGGGAGTAGAGGGGATCAGTCGTCGTCAACAAAGTATGAAGGTAGGACTATAGAACGCTGAATGCCAATCACCTGCCAGTAACCGGGGGGGGGGGGAAGAGTCATATGAATACTACAGAGCCTAAGGGGGGATCAGGTCAGTTCTCTAGTGACACGAGCAACTTACTCCCCCACCCCGCCGGTTTAAAAGCTAAATGGAGGTTTTATCCTTTTAAAAGATATTTCACAGACTGGATACATTTAAATAACGATTTCCTGTCGATGATAAAATACAAACAACATATATATCCTTCTCTGAAAGTGAGTTGGACCGGAGACTCTTTTGATTTTAATCGAAGTATCAACGAGGTATCTCGGCCTACACCCCTTTGGTGTAGCAAAAACCAACCTTGATCTTCTGCTTGTCCTTCCACGAAGGCCCGCTACAAGATTTCGTCAAATACAAAAGGAAAGAAATAAATAGTCAGAAAAAAATCTGAAATTATTTTTAGAGAAAAGGAAGAGCGAGAAAGCTTTGCTTCAGCATGAAAATTTCACAAACTTTTTCTCAAAATCCTCAACTTTTACTCTTTGAGAGAGTAGAGCGATGACGCAATAATCTCTGTCTGGTAACCGCTGACCGGACATTGGCGTTCATCACCGGAAATAGTGTTGGTGACATGAGAACTTTTAGAGGTTAAGTTCCTTTTACCTTCCTTCCTCTCCACTCTCAGCAGCGCTTTGCTCAGGGGCTATCGCTTTACATTCTGCGGACTGAGAATGCAGCAAAACATAAATTCCCTCTTTACTTTTAACACGGTGTTACAAATCATGACCTATTTGCGGACCTCTGCGTCCTTCAAAGCTAAAAATGTAAAGCTCTTACTGACCTGGTTCTCAGATAAGTCCTGCGGAAAAACAAACAGAAAGAAAGAGTTGAACAATCGTATTAAACTAGATACAAATTGTGCAAATGTTAAATTTACCTTTTCTTGACTAGCTTGTTTGATCTCTCCTATGGAAAAAAAACAAAACGAGCATTCGATGAGAAAATAAAACTCCACTGAATAACGATCGAGAATGGAAAGATTTCTTTCTGCACAAAAATGAATCAAGAAATAAAATAAGACAAAATAGAACTAAATCATATTTACCTTCTCGGATTGAAGCCATTTTTGATAAATACTCTTTGCTACTTTGAATAATTTCACGCAAATCTGCGATGAAAATCTCTACGCCCGATTCGTTCAAAACGCAACCGGATTCTAAGATAAGTGTTCGTTGTCATGACAACTTGACGTTACAGTGGACTACACTTGCCATATAAGGTTAATCGCGTGTTGCACGAGCGTTTTGTCACGCAATCTCGATCATTATAATGGTAACGAAACACCTATAAATTTGATTTGCCTTCCTTTGTCCCAACTTTGAGCATACTTTGGTATACTTCCCCGAATAAAAATAATTGATGTCAACGTGTTAAGTCGCCATCGAACAATTAATTTCAGGTAATTCTCTCACATTTCCTTCCCATTTAAAATTAAAATTTTGTCAGTTATCTTTCTTGCTTTTCTTGTTTCAAAGAAAAGTCTTCCTCTTTGAGTAAAATTTTCCTTCCAAATAGCTTGGTACAATTCAAAAAATTTTCTTTTTCGAATTGAAATTTTCAGATTTACAAGTGAACATTCATCGCAGGTTAGAGGAACTGTCAGTCTGAGTTTTGAGTGCATTCAGAGACAATATTTGTTCATGTATGCGAGTCAAGGCAAAAACTTGCAGGTTTTCGTCTCAGGTTAGAAGAACTGTAAGTTTGAGTTTTTAACTAGTTCAAAGACAATTCTTACCCATCTTTGTAAGTCATGAAAAAAACTGGGAATAATTTAAGTTTGAAGGGCTTTGTGATACCTTATGAAATTAAAAATTTCAGATAGATACCTGACAATCTTTAGTGATCGTGGAGCAGTGCAGAGTTTGTCGTTCGAGCTTGATGTCAACATTCTCAGTCTCTGAATCGATGAATGTAATATTTATAGGATTTCATTGCCTGCAATTTAACCAAAAATTTATGAATGAAATAAGCGACAATTATCGAACAAAATTATCGAACAAAATTATCGGAAGCCGATAAGGTTTCAAATTGATAGGGTGACTTTAAAAGAAAAAAGTTGTTCTCTTAGAATATCTGTCCAATCATATCTAATTATACAAGTTCAAATCAAAACCAAATCACGCTTACGAAAATCATATAAAGGTGAAGAGGTCTAATTCCTGGCTGATATAGCTTTCGTTTCTATGGTAACTCACCTTGCTTCGTTTTCTTTCCATAAAAGCGTAACAAAAAACAAAGCAGAGGAATCCGAATCAACAGTTAAGGGTTGGGTAGACGCTGGAGACTTCTAGCGATTGCACAGCGGAGAATGCATGAAATGGTGAGTGCCAGCGATGCGTGCAGGACTATTTGACAAGGGGGGATGGGTCCAAATCATGGTTGCTACAGTCATAAGTCTTTTAAATTCCCTGACTATTCCTGACCAACTGGGTTAGAAATGACATAAACGAGTCCCGAGTATGACTTCCAACCTCCTCTCACAGCCTTGCTTTCAAACAATAAATTTGCACTCTCAGCAAGACGTATACAATGCACATAACATGTAAGACCATGTAAAAAGGATTTTTAAAAATTTCCTAGAAACCCAACTCAATTTGTACATTGACACAATTAACACTTTTAATTTAAAAACAATGAAACTAGAAGCAAAACAAATGTTTGCTTACCATCAAATGGATTATGCTGGTCTGGAATCCGTCTCTAAACAAGGTAAATGAGAAGCATTTACCCAAGACCAAATGAATTTACTTTAAAATTCTCTTTCCCTGACTTCTTTCAAAAATGTTAATTTTCCCTGACTTAAAACTGAAATTCCCACACTTTTTTCAGACCTATGGCAACCATGCATACTTTCAAATTCATAAAACAAAGATAACTTTTCATATACATAATTTAGTCTTAATAAGCCAATAAATAATGCAAGGCAGGTAAATATCATATACTTCATACAAAACTCTTGAAAATACTCCGAAAGGGAACTTGCTCACATGGAAGTTGCACTATATCTGTAAGAATGTCTATAGTGACACCTACACACAAACATGCACTTGTTTTCCTCCCTTGTAAAAATATGTCACACATCAGCATGTGAAAATGAAAACAACTACAACAATGATTAGTGAACTATAAAGTTACCTGATAGAGCCGAAGTCCCCTGTGATTCTTATAGCTAAAATAAAGATGAGCTATAGTTAGCCCTCAAGGTATACATGTATGGTGCTGGAATACAAAGCTTAAACTCTGAAAATATTTGTGAAACACCAGAAATGTTACTAAAACAAGATTGTCTCAAGGAAATCATGCAAATCAGGCATTAATCTTAACTGTTGCAGCAATACTTGTACAGCAAATATTCAAGATGCATTTCAGATGTTCATGGTTTCCTGAATTAGAAATAGAACATTGTTTTTATCTAAAAAACACACAAAACAAAACAACACACAAAATAATACATACCCTTCATGCCAAGCTTTAACAAATCAGTTTTCAAATCAGCACAACCACTATCAAATTTACTGGCACATTGTACTAAAGTGTTTCCTATGGGGCCATAATTTGTAAATAGAATCTTATGACTTGGACACAACATAAACCTAACAGCATTAACATCAGTGAAAATAGTACCACATAAAGTGTAATATTTTACAGGGGAGGTGAGGGGGGGAGGTTGAATCTCAAGTAATGATTCTGAAGATAACAGGTTTTCTATTTGGTGGATCAACTTAGATCTAAACAACAGCAATAGCATCAAAAATTTAATCACTAATTGTACATTAAATTCTCAAGATAATGACCAGCCTAAAAAAATAAAAAAATCTGTAATAAGTAGCAGGATCTTCATCTTTGTGTTCTGAGAACAAAATAATTGAAGGTCCACACCTTATTCAATTAAAAACTCATATATGTTATCAAATACTGTTGAAAGAAAAAAAATACTGGTTCATGACCATGGCCTTAAAAAAAAAAGGATTCCCTTAGCTTTATAAGCAAAATTCAGCTATTGTGTATTAACCCTGTAACTCCCACAAGTGATCAAGACAGAATTTCTCCTCACAATATCAATACAATATCAACCAGATAAGTGCTGAGAATGAAGAAAAATATCAGTTTGGGCATAATAAGTTGATTCAATACTAAATTCTCTGAACTAACATTCTAAGAATTGTATGGTTGACAGTAATGAGAATTACAAATTTGATCTGGGAGTTAAAGGGTTTATTATACTACAAATAAGCCTGTATTCAGCAAACATCACAACAGCCAAAAAGAAGAAAGGGTCAAAACACAAGGAACCAATAGGAGGTTGAAGAAAGCCACAGAGTTAAGGCAAAGAAAACTTGGGTGACCATGCAAAAATGTTTTCAGTTTTGATATATGACTGGCTTCAGTAGAGTGTGGTGCAAATTTTCTTGACCAAACACTGACCAAGGTAAACCAAAATCAATGCAACCATCAAAAGTTTCTTTCTCAACCTTTTACATCTTAACATCAGAATGCATACTCTTCTTACTGTTCTCTATAATTTTTCTATGGTAAATGCAAAGAGAATTTGTATAACAATCAAGAGCGTCTTGAGTTTGGGATCATTTCCTGTATTTTCATTATTTTTGTTGGATTTATGGTGATGTTATAGTCTGAAATTAGATACTTATCACTCTTAGAGGTTAAAAACATCCCATACCTCACCCTTTTAACTACAACAGTTAAACATAAAGCATGCACAAGGAGAAAAATTCCAAACAAAAAAACAACTGAGTTGTCCAACAAAATATCTGAAAAAATTGAAACCTTCAAAGAGATCTGCAGAACAAGACAAAAGTAGGAAAAAGAAAAACTTAAGACTTTTAGAACAAAGAGCTTATTTAAACAATCAGTGTATTGTTCATTTACCAAATAATTTTTTTCACAACTCTTAAAACAAAATAATGTTGTTTTGAGAGTTGTAAATAAAGCTATTTGGTACAGAAAAATCCCAAACTTCCTGAGATGTATAATTGTTTGTACCTCATGTAATACAACTTGGTTCTGACAACTTGAAAGCACACCATCTAATCATGACAACAAAATAATGTTGTTTTGAGAGTTGTAAATAAAGCTATTTGGTACAGAAAAATCCCAAACTTCCTAAGATGTATGATTGTTTGTACCTCATGTAATACAACTTGGTTCTGACAACTTGAAAGCACACCATCTAATCATGACAACATTCACACATGCACAGATTTTTGATTGCTTAGTTAGCCTCAATTGAGGCTTGTCTTTACATATTCGTAAATTGTACTTGTTTCCTGTCCCTCTTTAAACTGGAGGAAACGTATCTGCCAAGGGAGATGTCATTGGTGTACTAGTTTCATCCCCACCAAGTTCAGTACAAGAACATAGAGCTTTGTGGCCATCAACTGAATCTGCTGTATAACATTTTCCACACCTAGGGCACCGCAATGGTTCCTCTGGCCCACAGGTTGCGTAGATATCAAATATGTAGATGGCTGATGCAATGATATTCTTTCCAATAAACACTGACACGTCTTGGTTAAATTTGGTCCATAGGATAATCCTGATGACCCCCAAGGGCACATTTACCAGAAAAATATAGGATATCGAGTACAAGATCTGAAAAGTTGCAGAACGAACCTCACCTTTTACAATTGCACTCAATTCAAGCAGTGCTAAAGTAGGCAAGAAAAAGTTGATGCATGCAAATGCAATTATGGCATTTTCCAATGCAACTGGAAGTTTTAGTTCTACATCATCTATAAACAAAATCTCCAAAATATCAATGCTGTCTAGAAGATCCAGCGTAACTCCAGCTGACAGTTTGTCAATGTAGATTCTTCGTTTAGAGTAGCGCTTGGCGTCGTGAAGTGAATTAACCAGCAACAGAAATAACATAGGAGTGATGCAAAGTGCAACTTTAAGAAAGTTTTGCCCGAACACTCTGGCATCTCCGAGCTGATCAGCAAATCTTTTAAAAATCACAGCTATCTCAGGAACAAGAGTGATGGCAACATATGCCAGCCACGCGATGAAGACAAAGGCGATTTCGTCCGCACCATCATTCTTTACTTCAACAGGCCGATGTTTCCCGTCAGTTTTTTCTTTTCCTCGTCGAACCTTTCTCCATTTTTCGGTGAGCAACTTTCGTTTGGCCATGAACATCACGCCTATCCAGATGGCGAGAACTACAACATCAGTCGCTATAAATCCAAGTGATTTGTATTCATGATGTTCGTAGAGGTAATAATCCAGAATGGCCCCTTGCAATATTAGCAAAATAAAGCACAAGACTTTACCAACCACTTCCAAGTTCAAACGGCACTCCATGGCGTTGAAATGGTCTTAAAACAGAACACTGAAAAATATTTAAATACTTTTCGAATTGATATGAGCTTGCTGAACGATCGAGATGGAATGGAATGGAAAAGATCACGAGTTCGAGGTTCGAACCAGATTTGATCAACATTTACGGACCCTTTTTATTAAAGAATTACAAAAGAATGTGCCCTGTACCTTGTTCCTTGGAGAGTCCTTCGCAAACTTCAGGGAATTATGGCTGGCAAATTATGCTGATTGTTTATCATTTTCAGTTTAAGCCAACATCGCCATACCAGATTTACGCCCAAGTCATTTGGAACCCAGTTCTCTTCTTTCTAGAGCCCGCGATCCTTTCACCCAGCAGAGGAGCCATTCGGAACAAAGGCATAAGTATGTCATGTATGGGGAATTATTATCCCCAATATGTATTATGTCGTATACTTTACTTACATATAATGTTTTATACTTTACAGGTGACGTACCTAGGACACAGGCGGCTCAAGTTCCAGCTGTGAGATGATCGTCTTGCCAAATAAGAGTCACAGCGACATCATAGGAGTTTGTATGAGAATATTTACGATCGCTCTTAGATATTAAAAAATCAAATCAAATTTTGAATAAAAATAGTAATATTAAGCGGTCAAATAACAAGCGATGCACTGTGGAAGTAAGGTGAGGTATTTTTTAGTGAGAATTTGACTGTACTCTTTTATTCCTAAAAGCGGTCGTAAATACTCCCATACAAACTCTTATAATTTTGCCAGAACTCTTATTTCGCAAGACGATCATCTCACAGCCACAGCTTGGGCCGCTTGTGTCCGGATTCTGTTCGTCAGTTCTTGTTCTTTAGTGAGGGGTGGGGGGGGGTATATTTGTTTGATTAATAATTATTTTTGCGATTTACCTAGTCCTCCATCTTAGCTCTAATATAGGGCGACTTTGGCTAAGGGTTATGGTTGACTGATGTATAGAAAATGGAACAGTTTGGAAATGTTTCATGTCACCACCATTCTTATATATGACATCATAAGCAAAACAAAACAAACGCGCATCTGCATGTATCAATTTTTCTTGCCGAGTTTTCTGGCCTGTACTTTTTTCTATGCTTGTGTTTGTCTGTTGCACACTTTTTCGTTCAATGATTTAGTTTATGTTTTTTTTTTGTCTTCACATTTATTTTCATATTTGTTGTTTGTTTGTGTTTCTCATACAGGTGACGCTGAAATCAAACCATGGCAAGGGGGTATCAGGTATAAGACTTATCTTTACCAACCTTGCCATGCTTTTTGTTGCTATTTGAACAAAAAAAAATTGGAGCATTCATGAAGTGCCACATTCATCTTCTGGCAAATATCTCCATCCGTGACATGGCCAATTATTCTTTAGCACTTGGGATTGTCACGTTCTATCCTGCCTAAGTAAATAACAATACGGAAAGCTTCCAAAAAATTAGAGAAGTTATTTGTAATAAGCGAAATAATAATCCGGTAATTTGGCAAACAAGATGATTTTAATTTTCTTTGAGGGTAATCTCGGAATCATATAATGTTGTTCAGCTACAGAAAAAATTATCTTTAAGTAAGCGCAAAATCTATCTGTAGAAAAGCAAAAGCGATCTTCCCAGTTTTCAATTATGTACTTTTTCATTACCAAAACAGACGAGGTTCCCAATTGAAATCGTGCAATACCCTCATGCCATACGTTTTGAGTCATCGTTCCTATGAAAATAACTAGAGAAGTACTAATTTAAAATTTAGGAAATTTATAATTTCCTATGTTTATCGTTCCTCTCAAGGGACAAAGGCGAGTAAAACGGAATATCTCGCCAGAAAATGCCACGCAATGAAAGGAACGTGAAACAAAAAAATAAATTACGACTTAAGACTAATCCAGACATGCGACCTAAAAGTGGCGCTGATTAAAAACAGACCAGATACACACTGTGTAGTTATCATATTTAAATTGGTGAAGGAAGCTTTCTTCGAACCTTTCAATAAGCTTTTTCCTTTGTTCAAATTCTGGAAATATTGCAAAATGTCTTTCCTTTGTGACTCATTGATAAAAATTTCATTCATTGCGGCATTAATTCAAGGTGTTCTTTATCATCAAAGGCCTTCTTCTAGGCTATAGAATTATCTTTTTTTCGTAAGCTTTCTTTTGTCATTAAGATTTCTCGATAATCGAATCCACCGTTATTATTATTTTGTAGGGCAATAAAATATATTTTAGCCAGCTCGCACGCTCATATTATTGTTAAGACTGCTTTGTTGACTTTTTTTCAGTTTTCATTCTTTAAATGCCCTCAAAAGTGATAGAAATAGAAATACTGTTTATGTTCTTGGGCATAAGTACTCTGAGCCCTTCTCAGAATTATTTTAACTCTCGCAGTTAGGGCTCAAATGACTCTCAGTCGGGCCCAAAACATACTTATGCCGCAAACATAAACTGTATGGTTGGAATCTAATGTATGAAAAAAGCTTCACTGAAGTCGATTCTAACTCTGTCAAAGGTACGGTTGCCAATATTGATTGCAAACAGACGAGAACTTCCTTCAAGGTGTATTGCTTTACATTGCTCAATAGGTACAAAAGTTTCAATTTAGATCAGAGGCTTGGTAACTTTTTCAACCAAACTGACCCAAAGAATGGCTCTGAATTCTAATCTGACTCAAGGAAAAACTGGCTAATTCGTTCACCTAGTTTGGAATAGATTCATTGTAAGACGTTCCACTTGAAAGTCGGCGATTTCTTTTATAAATCGGTTATGAATTTTTTTTTTCATTTTAGCACGTACAAGATTTAGGACAATATTTAGATTGTTGAGTAAATATAGTTTTCCTAAATTCGCAATTGCTTTTACCGAATGGCCCTAAATTACATGAATTATCAATTGCTGTTGTTATTACATCGCGACAGTTGTTGGACATTTACCGTCCAAGTCATTGTTAAAAACGGATATCCTCACTCCGTAGAATAATTTAAAAGGGAGAGATCGTCTCCCACGAGTCCTACATTTTCACAAGATACAGCTCGTGAAGTTCCAGTTTGCTTGTTCGTTTGTGTACAAGGTGAGTCATTGTTATAAGCCACTACAGATTCTTGAAAGTGTTCAATGATTTGCCATACCATGTGTGACGTGCTCCTCGATTCTACAACATGAAATTGCGCAAAAATCGTTTTTCTTATAGGCATAAATCTTATTTAGATTCGCTCGAATTTGCTGCATATCAGTCTTGTAAAGAAACTTGTGTCCACCATTGTAAAGTAAGCCGTTTGTGCTGAAAGGAGTTCTCGAGCTAAATGTTCTTGGTATTAGGCTTGTTTTTGTAAAGTACTGAGTTTCTGGTTCTTGAGCAACGATAAACTGACTTTTTTTAACGATCAATATTTCGTAGAATATTTTCGGGTTATATTAAGTTATATTAGCGGGGCTTTTGTCACCTTGATGTGAGCAGAATTCGTAAAGTGTTACAACGTTTATTTCAGTCAAAATCTAGAGGTAAAACATTACGGACGTTTTTGAGAAGAAGAGGACTTCTTTTACACTAGCTTGAGACAAACATGTCGAAAACAGTACTATCGAAATGATTGAGAATGCTTTTGAAGAACCGTAAAATGCTCCTAGTCATTTAAGGATTCATTTGAAAGCCAAACCAGCGGTACCTTGAACTGAAGTAGAAAAGTAGATGGACCACCGAAAACTACTGAATAACATTTATAGAGGAATGAAGACGGAGAACTAATTAATTAATCATTATTATTGGGGTAAATGTAATCCGGCACTGACTGTGAGACATTATGATTGTCTCAGGGATTAATTAATTAAATTTATGGCTGATTAAATGATTGATTGATGGTAGAGGGGTTTTCAATCGAATGTCGAGAAATTCGATCCGGGATTGCTTTGCTTTTGCTTTACTTGAGTCACTCTGTGATTGGTCCTGAAAACACGCGCCACTTTTTTAGCCAATCAGATGCAAAACTAACACCAATCACCAACTGGTCTTTCCCGTTTTCCCGCGAGTTTTATTTTTAGTTCTCATTGGCTCTTAAAAGTATTTTAATTTTTCTGATCACTTTGGTTTGGTTTTGAGACACTCAATCGAAGAGCGCTAAATGAATGACCAACTGACTGACTGAAAGACTGACTGAATAAATAAACGAATATCTGAATGACTGAAAGACGCAATAGAATGACAGAGTCATTGAGTGACTAAATGACTAAATGGAGTGAGTGACTGATCATGAATAACTAATCATGAATGACTGACGAACTAAATGATTGATCATGAATAACTGGAAGACTGACCGACCGACTGATTGGTGAAAAAATTTAGTGACTACTCTTTGATTAAAGCGGTTTCAGCTGTAGCTTCCCAACAGATTATGCTAAAAACTTACATCAGGAGACAGTAAACGTTTCCGTTATGCAGAAGGTTAGTTGCATCAGCCTCACACATTTGTTCAACGTATTAGCATGAATCTGTTCTCTCTTTGCACAGGCGTATTTCAACAACGTGCTTCGAATTTAAATGAACTATAAAATATTGCTTTTGGGTTTGTTCCTTTTTCTTGGAACAACTTCAGTGTCCGCCAAGCCAAGACAAAGGAGAGCAGACGAGGTATTAAATCGGCTGCAGCTTCTCTCAGATGAGGTGAATAAATATTTAAGATAAATTATATATTATTTCTCATCAAGGTGGGGAAAAAATTATTCTTAGGGTCTCGAATAGTAATAAATCCTGATATAAGTAATAGAGAGGGGTTATTCGTAGAATAAGGCAAAGATAGGTGAAAAAGAACTTTGTTCACACGAGAGTGATAAAGAATATCGTATCAAAGGTCCAGTAAATACCCTTCTTTTGAAACTAAGGTATTTGGCATTTGAGAGGGAGGGTGGGGGACAGAATACTACAAGGTCTAAACCTGTGCTGGAACAACTGTCTTGCCCCTCCCTTTCCGCCCGCACCATTTTCTATACTTCGTAGCTATGTTTTCTCTATATGAAAGAGAAAAGTATACTTTGAGATGTTTAATCATTGAATTTTCATGTTAGGAATTGCAGGCGAAAGAAATCAGTTCCCATATAGAAAATGAAGCACAAAGTACTAAAAGAGAGCCTCGACCGAGATGTAGCGTTGGTCATTTTTATGGAAAAAAATGTAACTCTGGAAGAAGATAATTTAAAAATTTGAAACAAACTAATTTAATGATTTACTTTCTTTACTTTCTCCTGAGTCTCTTGCGTTACGACAAAGTTTCAACAAGAAGGGGTCATGTTTCAAATCACATTCGTAAACGTCGAACTTATGAAAGACTTCGACTTCACCACACGATCATGCAGGTGCCACGTGATTTGGCACATAATCGCTAACTCGTCCCGGTCGGCGTTTCCATAACGCGCGCGAGTAAGGTAGACCTATTCTTGTTCCCCTTCCCATGATCTCTTTCTTTCCCCTCCTCCCTCTTTCCCATTACCCTCGCACTACGTACTCTATAAAGACAAACCTTAAACCTCTACGGCAGCCATTGTTAGCTCTTGTCACGCAATCCTCTCAAAGATGACGTGATAACTTTACTTACAAACCATTAACTTATTTCGCAAAACGTCAGGTATGTGCAATGACATTACGTTTGACCGGCCGCATCGATTTTAGCATACAGTTTTAAAGAAGAAATCAGCCCTATTAGGAGTAATATGCGAGAGAATTGAAACCGTCCTAGAAATCTGTGAAAAGAAACAAGAGCAGTGAAAGGAAACTCTAGACTTACCAAGCACAAGGGTTACTTAGAACGGGTATCCTGTAAATTTACCATTTTGTTTTTCTCATTTTGAGCTTTCTTATGACATTTACTCGGATTTACAACACCGTAACTGACTGACATGTGTGACTGTTTATGACTGCTGTAAGACAACTTTACTCTGAAGCCTCAAAATAAACCACCACTTTTTTTATTAATCTTCAAGACTAAAAAATTAATCAGGTACATGACGTTAGAGCTAAAATTTCAATGCTGTTATTACTGTTACAGACTATATGAAATAACCTATTATAACATAGCTAATAAATTTGTCTAATCAAATTCAATAGCGCGAGCGTGCTTCGTATTCCTATTGTGCACGCTCATGACGTCAGCAGACAAATCCCTCCAGAAAAAAATTTTCCATCGGGTTGAAAATGTTATAAAACAATTGGTTCACACGTCAGCTGTGTGTTCATCGAGATATGAAGCACTTAGGAAGTTTGGAGGGCACTCAAGAAGCTAGAGTTGCTCGAGGCTACACAACTCTTACACATCTTTCGTGCTCTCAAAACTTCCCGCGTGCTTCATATCTCGATGAACACACGCTGACGTATGAACCAATTGTTAACTGATAAAATTCTTATTTTTCTCGCAAGCTGTGCCTCTATAGCTAATCAATGATAATCCTGGTGATCTCTTGAAATTCTCTTGGTTGCCTAAAATTTAGTGGAAGATTATGAACTTGTGGAAACGGAACAGCAGGTTGATCCACAGATATCTGCTTATGGCAGAACAAAAAGACGCACTCCCTGTGAGGCAAGAACCTTAGATGTGCGGCCCTTTACCATCAAGAATAAGTTGTCGGTCTTGTCCACGTCCTCGGACCGCGTAGCTCTGGCGCGGACGGATATAATCGCGCAATGGCCTTTAATAACACGTATGGGTGAAATTTGTGGGGTAATGATCAAACCCATTCGATCTTTTACGACCGTCACGTCAAAATACTCAGTGGCGCCAAAGTTGCAGATCTGAAAATGAACGAACGTCACTCTTCCTAAAGGAAGTGTATAATCATTACTGGCGTATCTTACTCTGAGCAGGGCCCTGGAGGGTTTGATCCTCTGTCGAGAAATTCTCTCAAAAGTATTTCCGCCACGAGTGATACCACTGAGCTTGAGTTTGAATTGTTGGCTTGTGCGAGGCGTAAAACTTGCGGTGAAATGGACGTTGTCAGTTGTCTGCAACGTGACGTCAGTAATCCTAGCTCCTTCAGGGGTAATGAGCTCCAAGCGTAAAGAGCTTGTGTTGAGCTTCTCGGAACCAGCGACAGTGATGAGCATCTTATTCAGTTTACCTTTAAGAAATACAGAATCATTTGTGATTCATTTGAAGTTGAAAACGGGGCGAGTTTTTTGACCAATCACAGACCGAAGTAAAATCCCAGATTACATTTGACACTTACTTGAAAATTGCGCTGATTATAAATGAAACTTACCTATAACCGGATTGGAAATAGGCACTTCTGTTATCTGTCTCCTGCGTCCTTGCATTGGAATGATGAAATCTACCTCGAAGTTGACATTTGTTTCACTGCTCGACTTAACTTGAAACTCGTGTTCGCCTGACACAATCAGGGTCCAGCCTCCTATCTTGGGGCGGTCGATCTGATAGACAGTGATCTGGGACAAACTAAGTTTTTCAGCTGAAATTACGATGTTATCGGGGTCTGTTAAGGTAATTCCTTGTCCTGCATTAAAAACAATAATTTAAATTAAGTATGCAAAAACTGATACAGGGGGTACGCAGATAACAGACAAAGAAATAACTTAACAAGAAGATAAACAAGGGTGTTAATTAGAAATGATTAATTGTGACATTCGAAGGTTAAAGAATTAGGCAGAGAGCAACTATGTTTATTTTAATATATTTCATTGATTTCATTTATTCAATTTAATCCTTCTTAATCTCCAAGGAATGAAGATGTTGATAAAGAAAAACAAAATCAAACGAACAAAAATAAATTAAAAAAAAAAGATTTGTTGCAAAGTTTCCATGTGGCAGTTATTAAGAGTTGACTGTTTGGGAACTACCTCTCCTCGCGTCTTATATCGGCGAGTAAACGCTAAGAAGCTCGCGATCGCATTTGCCCCCCCTCCCCTCCCCTCCTCTTCTTTCTGACCGTCGCTCACCCTGCTGTAAAAGTCAAAGATGGCAGTCCAAGATAATATTGAGCACTTGCCCGCTAAAGCATCATAGATACGATCAAGGACCTAAAAAGTGCTCACCATTTGTTCCCTGTCGTGTGGTGCTTACTGTTATAATCAATTTTTCGATGGATTCATCAACTGGAAAGTTATATCGACCGGGTGATGTATCTTTTAGGCTCCGCTTCTTCTTGTGTCCTGGGCTTGAACCGATACTAAGAGTACTCGTCCCATCAAGCACACCTGCTGTCAGGTTATTAAGCTTTTCCAGTTCTCCGTCTCTTCTAAGAGAAATGGTCTGACCTGAGGTAAGCTGGGCGAGATCTTTGAAGGCTGGGTGCAAACGAGTGTAACAGAAACCTACACCAAACAATCGATAAATTCGTGAAACAGGGCAACTAATCAATTGATCATTCGATAGACCAGTCAGACGGATTGATTAATCTGTCAGTCAGAAGTAATTTAGTCAGTCAGCCAATTCCTTAATTATTCAGTCAGACACTCTATCAATCTGCTAGTCTGTTGGTCCGTCAGCCTGTTGTCTGTCGGCAAATCATTCTGTTTAACTGTCGGTCCGTTCTGTCGTTTTCTTTATTTTTCATTCTGTCGGACCATCCGTCTGTTGTGTGTTAGTCAGTCGGACTTTTAGTCTGTCGGACTGTTGGTCTTTAAATCTGTCAGTCTGCAAGAGACGATACCTTATCCTCTCTTACGGTTTGTCAGTCAGACATACAGCCTGCTAAACCGTACGCGAACAAGAAAGTAAATAATTTACTGACAATTAGATCCCTTTACCTGTGGTTAGAAAGTTAATTGTCACCCCGAAGTCATCAGCTAAGTACTGAAGCTCCTGAATGTTTTCGTCTGATGCATCTTTTGGGCCCGCGTCCGTAAAGACGTACATAGGGGATCCCCATTCTGGTCCAAATCTCAATGTTTCCAGCATCCCTCTGAATGTATACTCCGGACAATCCCCACCACCGTATGCTGTAAGAGCATTAATAGCTTTTACGAACTCACCAGCTTCGCTTTCCTCTTTGACTATGGCGGCCGATTTCACTGTAAAATATTGAAGTGCAAATTTGTCATGCCCCCAAAATCCTCCACACCCCCCTTCCAAGATTGAAAAAAGCAAGCAAACTGACAAACATAACACAAAAATAAAATGTTTTGTACGTACCAGGGTAGGGGTCGTTAAAAGGCGACAAAATGTATTTCTTCACAGTGGCATTACGAGGATAATTTATGATGTCTATGGCGATGTTTTTTGCTGCTTGAATTTCTTCACTCATGCTTCCAGTGTTATCAATGGCAAACATTAGTGACACGTCTCCTTGGACAGCCATGAAGCTATCAAACACCGAGGCGCCGAGTTTCTTCCGTAAATCTTGAAGGAAATTGCCTCCTTCCGTTTCAGGGGTGGTTTTTTCCCCTGAGGTGGTTCTCTTGCTTCGTCGCGTTGCCGACGACTTGGTGCTTAAAAGATACATGATCTTGCCCAGAACTTCGCGCGCATATTTGTAGCTCTTACTTCTTATCGCTCGCATTAGGAGTCCTTTCAATTTATTGAAGGTTCCTTTCCTGTACCGGAATCCTGAAGCCTTTGCTTTAGCCACAGCCCGTTCAATGTCATTGATGGCTTCGAGGAACTTGTTCGATGGTGATAAGCGCGGTTTGTAAGTCCTGCTTTCCTTTGTATAGGTGATTTCTTCCCGAGTAATGTTTTTCGTTGGGAAAGTGAATTTAGGGGGGAATCTGCGTAGGGATTTAGCCTGCTTATTAAGTTGCCCTTTAAACATCTCTCTCACTTGCTCAAAGGGAGTAATAATCCTTTTCGTTTTCTTCGGTGTAAGTATTTCCACGCTCCTCTGCGATCCGTGTGAGAAACCCATCAAGGCATCGCGAGTGAACTGCAGCGATGTGGAGAGGAGACTGCCCCTACAAGGTCCTACAGCTAATAAGAAGACAAAAGCGCTCGTTGCAAGAAGCGAAAGAAGTTCGCCCTTTATGATCATGATGTTCTCTTTGTGCTGCTCAAAACTTTTAAAGTATTGACACTCTTTTGAAAGATTTTTATAGGCTGAGTCTCAGTTAACTTGCTTGAGCATTTGAGGAACCAGTTTACGTGCTTACTTACCTCTGAGCATCTAAGGAACCAGTTTACATGCTTACTTACCCTTGAGCATCTGAGGAACCAGTTTACGTGCTTCAATTACAGATTGCTATCGTTAGTTTTTTTCCTTTGTTTTGTTTTGTTTTTTTTTTCCAAAACCGATTGATGCCTATGACTGATGCTTTGCTAGAGTGAATGGGCCCTTGATCCCATAGAGATCTCTAGCATGTCTTTCGTTGATTCAAAGACACCAAGAGTACAAAAAATAAAGACATATTAACGTTGTGTACAAACGGCCGACCGCCAAAGCCTAAGATAACCAGTGGAAGCCGATGATGTCCAACTGTTTTGAGAATCCAAGGCCATCAGTGCCGACTGCAATAGTATCTCCCGAACAGCCCGCTACTTCGCGAATGGCAGCGTTGACTTAGATAATAATTTGTCGTCGGGATTTCTGCTCTCACACCACTCAAATTTTGGTGATTCAACGTTCCTCTTTTAAAGAGGAAAGTTGTGAGATGTACAGTGTGTACATTTTAAAACGCACGTGCTGAACGATTGATCTGACCACAAGATCTATTATTTTGCCATGACCTCGTCGTCGCCGTTGTGTCATGTTACGTCCGCCGTGTTTTCTTCAAATTTTTATTATACCAACGACTTTACAAATTCACGTACAGGTAAAATCTTGAAAGTGTTCGAAAGGTGATGTTTTTATTGTGCAATATCTAATAACAACCCAACGAATCGGAGATGAACAAATGGTACATATCTAACAAACTGCGAGGTAGCGAGGTAATTTCCCTCCCAGCTAATCCCTGGGATGTCACGCAAATCTTTCGTATGACAATTGTTGCGTTACATCCTATATCCTGCCGCCTGAACCCACAATATCTCCCCATTAAAAACTCGCTTTACAAGACATTTGTGACTTTCGTATTTCTAGCTCGTTTTCCAAATGCTTATGTAATTATACGACGTTTGATCACACTGAGAACTGGGTCTAAGGCACAAGAACATCGATTAGCTTATGATAAAAAATTAAAACAATAAAAAACAAAACAAAACAGAAAAAAACTGTTTTTTATCGTGATCATGAAACAGGAATTGGACGATTAACGTGTTCGTGTATTTTGTAACAAACGAGTGTGTTCTTACGCCTCCTGTTCTTGGTCGAGAACTACAGCAGAGGGTAAAATGGCTCAGTTGGCTTCATTTGTAATTACACCACATAAATTTTATGGACTTACGTATCAGCTACGGCGGAATCAAGGTTTTGTATACTACGTGCATTAGGCACGTTCGACGTTCTATTAATGCTTCCTTGTTTGATGACCATTTTAAAAAAATTCATTCTCAAATTATAGGATGAGTTCTCGTGACACTTGCCTCGTTTTAGCCTGCTTCCGTCTCTCAAATTTGATGCTTACAGCTGGCAGTGGGCCGAAATTAAGTGAAGTCTAATTTTATAATTTTTTATACATTTCTTTCTTTAAATATTATTATCACTGCCATCATTATCATCAGTATTGTTATTATTTTTTTTAGTAATACTATTCTTATTTTTTCCACGCTTCGAAACGCGACATACATACGTATATCAAAAAACAAAATCAAATTATCCTTTAAAGCCTTGGCTACAAGGGTATAAATAATACAACTATTGCCCGAAATTTTTTCACAAAAAACCGAACACCTTTATTCAAACCTGTTATTTTGCTTTTACGACTCAAATGATATGATTAAGTAATGTAATGAGAAATCACACTTCCAGCAATGCAATACGTATTAGTAACCTCAATAAAACCATCCCCACAGGTAAGACGATCGAGTTAAGCCAGAAAAAAAAATAATGTCCATCGTTCAACTATAACTCACAGCTTACTCATAGAATAGCAAGTATCATGGATACATTGTCATTTTCCGTCGAAATCTAGAGGTAAAACATTACGGACATTTTTGTGAAGGAGAGAACTTCATTTACACTAGCTTGAGACAAACATGTCGAAAACAGTGCTATCGAAATGATCGATATTGCTTTTGACGAATCAATAATGAAGCATCGTAAAATGCTTCTAGTCATGAAAGGATTTATTTGAAAGCCAAATTAGCGATGCCATAAAATGAAGAAAAAAGCAGATGGACCACCGTAAAACCACTAAATGACATTTAGAGAGGAATGAAAACATAGTTGGAAAACTAATGAATTAATCATTATTGTTGGGGTTAATGTAATCCGGCACTGACCTTGAGACATTATGATTGTCTCAGGGATTAATTAATTAATTAAATTTATGACTGATTAAATGGTTGATTGATGGTAGAGGGGTATTCAACCGAATGTCGAGAAATTTGATCCGGGATTGCTTTGCTTTTGCTTTGCTTGAGTCGCTCTGTGATTGGTCCTGAATACACGCGCACTTTTTCACCCAATCAGAAGCAAAAGTAAAACCAATCACCAATTGGTCGTTCTCGTTTTCCCGCGAGTTTTATTTAGAGTTCTCATTGGCTCTTGAAAGTATTTTTAATTCTTCCGATTACTTTGGTTTGAGACACTCAATCGAAATGCGCTTAACGAATGGTCCACTGACTGACTGAAAGAATAAATAAATGAATATCTGAACGACTGAAAGACGTAATAGAATGACAGAGTCATTGAGTGACTGATCATGAATGACTGGTCATGAATGACTGACGAACTAGATGATTGATCATTAATAACTGGATGACTGACCGACCAACTGACTGGGGGAAAAATTTAATGACTGTACTTATAGATTAAAGCGGTTTCAGCTGTAGCTTCCCAACAGATTATGCTAAAAACTTACATCAGGAGACAGTAAACGTTTCCGTTATGCAGAAGGCTAGTTGCATCAGCCTCACACATTTGTTCAACGTATTAGCATGAATCTGTTCTCTCTTTGCACAGGCGTATTTCAACAACGTGCTTCGAATTTAAATGAACTATAAAATATTGCTTTTGGTTTTGTTCCTTTTTCTTGGAACAACTTCAGTGTCCGCCAAGCCAAGACAAAGGAGAGCAGACGAGGTATTAAATCGGCTGCAGCTTCTCTCAGATGAGGTGAATGAATATTTAAGATAAATTATATATCATTTCTCATCGAGATGGGAAAAATTATTCTTAGGGTCTCGAATAGTAATAAATCCTGATATAAGTAATAGAGAGGGGTTATTCGTAGAATAAGGCGAAGATAAGTGAAAAAGAACTTTGTTCACACGAGAGTGATAAAGAATATCGTATCAAAGGTCCAGTAAATACCCTTCTTTTGAAACTAAGGTATTTGGCATTTGAGAGGGAGGGTTGGGGACAGAATACTACAAGGTCTAAACCTGTACTGGAAAAACTGTGTTGCCCCTCCCTTCCCGCCCGCACCATTTTCTATACTTCGTAGCTATGTTGTTTTTATATGAAAGAGAAAAGTATACTTTGAGATGTTTAATCAATGAATTTTCATGTTAGGAATTGCAGGCGAAAGAAATCAGTTCCCATATAGAAAATGAAGCACAAAGTACTAAAAGAGAGCCTCGACCGAGATGTAGCGTTGGTCATTTTTATGGAAAAAAATGTAACTCTGGAAGAAGATAATTTAAAAATTTGAAACAAACTAATTTAATGATTTACTTTCTTTACTTTCTCCTGAGTCTCTTGCTTTACGACAAAGTTTCAACAAGAAGGGGTCATGTTTTAAATCACATTCGTAAACGTCGAACTTATGAAAGACTTCGACTTCACCACACGATCATGCAGGTGTCACGTGATTTGGCACATAATCGCTAACTCGTCCCAGTCGGCGTTTCCATAACGCGCGCGAGTAAGGTAGACCTATTCTTGTTCCCCTTCCCATGATCTCTTTCTTTCCCCTCCTCCCTCTTTCCCATTACCCTCGCACTACGTACTCTATAAAGACAAACCTTAAACCTCTACGGCAGTCATTGTTAGCTCTTGTCACGCAATTCGCTCAAAGATGGCGTGACAACTTTACTTACAAACCATTAACTTATTTCGCAAAACGTCAGGCATGTGCAATGACATTACGTTTGACCGGCCGCATCGATTTTCGCATACAGTTTTAAAGAAGAAATCAGCCCTATTAGGAGTGATATGCGAGAGAATTGAAACCGTCCTAGAAATCTGTGAAAGGAAACAAGAGCAGTGAAAGGAAACTCTAGACTTACCAAGCACAAGGGTTACTTAGAACGGGTATCCTGTAAATTTATCATTTTGTTTTTCTCATTTTGAGCTTTCTTATGACATTTACTCGGATTTACAACGCCGTAACTGACTGACATGTGTGACTGTTTATGACTGCTGTAAGACAACTTGACTCTGAAGCCTCAAAATAAACCACCTCTTTTTTTATTAATCTTCAAGACTAAAAAATTAATCAGGTACATGACGTTAGAGCTAAAATCTCATTGCTGTTATTGCTGTTACAGACTATGCGAAATAACCTACTGATAAAATTCTTATTTTTCTCGAAAGCTGTGCCTCTATAGCTAATCAATGATAATCCTTGTGATCTCTTGAAAGTCTCTTGAATTCACTCGGTCGCCTAAAATTTTAGTAGAATATTATGAATTTGTGGCAACGGAATAACAGATTGATCCACAAATCTCTGCTTATGGCACAACAAAAAGACGCACCCCCTGTGAGGCAAGAACTTTAGATGTGCGGCCCTTTACTATCAAGAATAAGATGTCGGTCTTGTCCACGTCCTCGGGCCGCGTAGCTCTGGCGCGGACAGATATAATCGCGCAGTGGCCTTTAATGACACGTTTGGATGAAATTTGTGGGCTAATAATCAAACCCATTCGATCTTTCACGACTGTAACGTCAAAATACTCAGTGGCGCCAAAGTTGCAGATCTCAAAATGAACAAACGTGACTCGTCCTAAGGGAAGTGTATAATCATTACTGGCGTATCTTACTCTGAGCAGGGCCCTGGAGGGTTTGATCTTCTGGCGAGAAATTCTCTCAAAAGTGTTGCGGCCACGAGTGATACCACTGAGCCTGAGTTTGAATGGTTGGCTCGTGCGAGGCGTAAAACTTGCGGTGAAATGGACGTTGTCAGTTGTCTGCAACGTGACGTCAGTAATCCTAGCTCCTTCAGGGGTAATGAGTTCCAAGCGTAGGGAGCTTGTGTTGAGCCTCTCAGAACCAGCGACAGTGATGAGCATCTTGTTCAGTTTACCTTTAAGAAATACAGAATCACTTGTAATTAATTTGAAGTCCAGAATGGGACGAGTTTTTTTGACCAATCACAGACCGAAATAAAATCCCGGATTACATTTGACACTTACTTAAAAATTGCCCTGATTATATGCGAAACTTACCTGTAACTGGATTGGAAATAGGCACTTCTGTTATCTGTCTCCTGCGTCCCCGCATTGGAATGATGAAATATACTCCGAAGTTGACATTCGTTTCACTGCTTGACTTAGCTTGAAACTCGTGTTCACCCGACACAACTAGGGTCCAGCCTCCTATCTTGGGGCGGTCGATCTGATAGACAGAGACCTGTGACAGACTAAGTTTTTCAGCTGAGATCACGATGTCATCGGGGTCTGTCAAGGTAATGCCTTGCCCTAAAAAAAGTTTAAAAGCAAGTATGCAAAAATTGATACAGTAAGTTTACAGATTATAAAAAAAGAAATAACTAAACAAAAAGATAAACAAGGGTGTTAGAAATGATAAATTGTGACACTCGAAGGTTAAAGAGGTAGGCAGCTAGCAACTTTGTTGATTTTAATATATTTCCATCGATTTCATTTATTCAATTTAATCCTTCTTAATCTCCAAAAAATGAAGATATTAACTAAAAAAAAAAGTCAAACGAAGCCAAAAAAAAGAAAAAGATTTCTTGCAAAGTTTCCTTGTGGCTGTTAGTTGACTATTTGGGAACTACCTCTCCTTTTGTAAAATATGATATGGAAATAGCATCTGTATCCATGAGCGGTTCGCCTGCAGTGCAGGCGTCTTATATAGGCGAGTAAACGCCAAGAAGCTAGCGAACGCATTTGCCCCCCCCCCCCTCCCCTCTCCTTCTTCTTGGCCGTCGCTCACCCCCTTGGTACAAATTTCTCTCTCTCCCAGCCTTTTCCTGCTGTAAAAGTCAAAGATAGCAGCCTAAGATCACATTAAGCCTCACCCACTACAACATAGATATAATCAAAAAAATAAAAAGTACAGACCATTTGTTCCCTGGCGTGTGGTGCTTACTGTTATGGTCAATTTTTCAATGGATTCATCAACTGAAAAGTTATATCGACGGGGTGTTGTATTTTTTACGCTTCGCTTCCTCTTGTGTCCTGGGCTTGAACCGATACTAAGAGTACTCGTCCCATCAAGCACACCCGCTGTCAGATTATTAAGCTTTTCCAGTTCTCCGTCTTTTCTAAGAGAAATAGTCTGACCTGAGGTACGCTCGGCGAGATCTTTGAAGGCTGGGTGGAGATGAGTGTAACAGAAACCTACACCAAACAATCGATAAATTCGTGACACTGGTCAACTAATCAATTGATCATTCGATAGATAAGTCAGACAGATTGACTAATCTGTCTGTCAGAAGTTTGTTAGTCAGCCTATCACTCAAATTGGTCAGTCAGACGCTCTATCAGTCTGCTAGTCTGTTGGTCTGTCAGTCTGTTGGACTGCCGGTCCTTTAGTCTGTAAGTCTGTCGTTCTTTCTATCTGTCACTTTGTCGGACTGTCGGTCTGTTGGTCTCTTAGTCTGTCGGTCTGTTAGTCTGTCAAACTGTAGGTCTGTAAATCTGTCAGTCTGCAAAAGACGAGACCTTATCCTCTCTACCGGTTTGTCAGTCAGACATACAGCCTGCTAAATAGTATGCGAACAAGAATGTAAATACTTTACAGATGATTAGATCTCTTACCTGTGGTAAGAAAATTAATTGTTACCCCTAACTGATCAGAGCTAGCTAGGAACTGAAGCTCGGCAATTTTTGCTTCTGATGCATCTTTTGGGCCCGCGTCCGTAAAGACGTACATAGGGGATCCCCATTCTGGCCATTGGTAGATTGCTTCCAGCATCCCTGTGAATGTATACTCCGGACAATCCCCACCACCGTTTGCTGTAAGAGCATTAATAGCTTTCACGAACTCACCAGCGTCGCTTTCCTCTTTGACTATGGTGGCCGATTTCACTGCAAAATATTGAAGTGCAAATTTGAATAGTTTGACTTCTTCTGGAATTGGCGAAGGGTCAGAATGATATCCCCCTCCCCACCACCCTTGTTTCCCTGTTCGTTTTCGATTACCTTTCAGAAGAACGATCAGTCATTGACAGTAAAGGGTAGTCTCATATCCAGATCTTTCACGGCCAAGAGGTACATTTCAGTTTCAGTTACACGTTAAGATCTGGGTATAAGATTAAATAAAGCCTTTAGGGCCGAATTGCATGGCACTCAAGCGTATTTTAGAGTAAAAAGGTTTTTAAATATTAATCGGGAGGCATGGAGAGAGCTTGAGTGCCTTGATTAGGCAGGCGGGACCATTGCTTGTGAGAGAAGCGAGGGGGGGGGGGAGGGGGATGTAGGGATGTAGGGATGGAGGATTTTGTTTGACTCTCCCTTTAATTAGATGCTAATTGGCAGTCAATTGTCTATAGTTGTTCCCCTCCCCTCCCTTTATACTCTGTTAGCAATGACTGATCTTCCCTCCCTTCACCCTGAAAACCATGCTGTGCCCCCAAAATCCTTCACACCTCCCCTTCCTAATTGAAAAAAGCAAACAAACTGACAAACATAATACAAAAATAAAATGTTTTGTACGTACCAGGGTAGGGGTCGTTAAAAGGCGACAAAATGTATTTCTTCACACTGGAATTACGAGGATAATTTATGATGTCTATGGCGATATTTTTTGCTGCTTGAATTTCTTCACGCATGCTTCCGGTGTTATCAATGGCAAACATCAGTGACACGTCTCCTTGGACAGCCATGAAGCTATCAAACACCGAGGCGCCGAGTTGCCTCCGTAGATCTTGAAGGAAATTGCCTCCTTCCGTTTCAGGGGTGGTTTTGTTCCCTGAGGTGGTTCTCTTGCTTCGCCGCGGTGCCGACGACTTGGTGCTTAAAAGATACATGATCTTGCCCAGAACTTCGCGCGCATATTTGTAGCTCTTACTTCTTATCGCTCGCGCTAGGAGTCCTTTCAATTTATTGAAGGTTTCTTTCCTGTAACGGAATCCTGAAGCCTTTGCTTTAGCCACAGCCCGTTCAATGTCGTTGATGGCCTCGAGGAACTTGTTCGATGGTGATAAGCGCGGTTTGTAAGTCCTGCTTTCCTTTGTATAGGTGATTTCTTCTCGAGTAATGTTTTTTGTTGGGATAGTGAATTCAGGAATGGGTTTAGAGGATCTAGATGGCGTCTTAGGTAATCTGTCCATTTAACTTCTCTAGCAATTGCTCTCTGGGACTAATAATCCTTTTCGTCTTCTTCGGTGTAAGTATTTCCACGCTCCTCTGCGATCCGTGTGAGAAACCCATCAAGGCATCGCGAGTGAACTGCAGCGATGTGGAGAGGAAACTGGCCCTACAAGGTCCTACAGCTAATAAGAAGACAAAAGCGCTCGTTGCAAGAAGCGAAAGAGCTTCGCCCTTTATGATCATGATGTTCTCTTTGTGCTGCTCAAAACTTTTAAATCGTGAACCATTTTTTGAGAGATTTTTATAGGCTAAATTTCAGTTAACTTGCTTGAGCATTTGAGGAACCAGTTTACGTGCTTACTTACCTCTGAGCATCTGAGGAACCAGTTTACGTGCTTCAATTAAAGATTGTTATGTTTTTTTTTTGCTTTGTTTCGTTTTGTTTTTTTTCGAAAAGCGATTGATGCCTTTGACTGATGCTTTGCTAGAGTGAGTGGGCCCTAGATCCCATAGAGATCTATAGCATGTCTTTCGTTGATTCAAGGACACCAAGAGTACATAAGATATAGACATGTTGATGTTGTGTACAAATGGTTAACCGCCAAAGTCGTAAGCTAACCAGTTGAAACCAATGATGTCCAACTGTTCTGAGAATCCAAGGCCAACAGTGCCGACTGCTGTAGTATCTCGCGGACAGCCCGCTACTTTGCGAATGGCAGCGTTGAGTTCCAAATGGAAACTTAGATAATTTTCCAGGGCTTTCTGCTCTCACACCACTCAAATTTTGGTGATTTAACGTTCCTCTTTTAAAGAGGACAGTTGTGAGATGTACAGTGTACACATTTTAAACCGCACGTGCTGAGCGATTGATCCGACCAGAAGATCTCTTATTTTGCCATGACCTTGTTGCCGTCATCGTTGTGTCATGTTACGTCTTCCGTGTTTTCTTCGAAGTTTTATTGTACCCATGACTTTACAAATTCACGTACAGGTAAAATCTTGAAAGTGTTCGAAAGGAGATGTTTTAATCGTGCAATATCAAATAACAACCAAACGAATTGGAGATGAACAAATGGTAGATATTTACCAAACTGCGAGGCGGCCAGGTGATTTCCTTGCCAGCTATTCTCTGGGATGTCACGCAAAGCTTTTGTATGGCAAGTGTTGCGTTACATCCTGCCGCCTGAACCCACAATATCTCCCGATTAAAAACTCGCTTCACGGAAAATTTGTGACTTTTTTATTTCTAGCTCGTTTTCCAAATGCTTATGTATGTATACGACGTTTGATCACACTGAGAACTGGGTCTAAGGCACAAGAACATCGATTAGATGAGGGTAAAAAATGAAAACAATACAAAACAAAACAAATATTTTTAATCTTAGCCATGGAAGAGGACGTGGACGATTTACGCGTTCTAGGATAGTGTCGTGATCTTGCCTAGATTCCGGCCAGCAGTTATCACATTACCTAGGCCACCATATACAAAAATTGGGCAGCTAATAATTGTTCACTTGCATGTGATTTGGTTTCCTTAGTTTAGTTCTGTTCCATATGCTTTGTAATAAACGTGTGAGTTCTTACGCCTCCTGTTCTTGACCGAGAACCACAGCAAAGGGTAAAATGGCTCAGTTGGCTTCAAACTATTCGTCATGTACCTTATTTACACCACATAAAATCTATGAACTTACGTATCAGCTACGGTGGAATCAATGTTCTGTTTCAGCGTAAACTACGTGTAGCAGGCACGTTCGACTATCCATTAGTGCTTCCTTGTTTTGATGGCCATTTTAAGAAAATTCATTCTCAAATTACGGGATGAGTTCTCGTGACACCTGTGTTACTTTGCTTCAGCCTGCTTCCTTCTCTCAAATTTGATGCTTACAGCTGGCTGTAGTCCAAAATCCAATTTTAGAATATTTTATATACATTCTTTTTTTAAATATTGTTATCATTGCCATCATTATCATCAGTATTGTTATTATTGTTTTTAGTAATACTATTATTTTTTTTCCAAGCTTCGAAACGCGACATACATACGAACATCAAAAAACAAAATCAAATTATCCTTAAAAGCCTTGGCTACATGGGTATAAACAATACAACTAATGCCCGAAATTTTTGCACAGGAAACTAAACACCTTCAGCCAAACCTATTATTTTACTGTTATGCCTCAAATGATATGATTAAATTATGTACTGAGAAAGCACACTGCCAGTAATGCAATGCGTACCAGTAACCTCACTAATACCATCCCCACGGATGAGGATAACCAAAGAAATTTAATTCCCAATAAATTTCGACTGAAACAAACTTACTAGCAAGCGTTATTCTCAACCTGATAAACGCTTTTATTACAGTAATTATCCTTCGAGTACTTTGATTTACAATGTAACAAAAAAAGTAGCGTATAGTTTTCGATCTAACGAGTAAGTCTTTATTTTTGTCTCTCCAATTTAGCTTTTTATGTACTGTCGCTACAAAAATAACCTTGGCCGCTTGATATTGAAAGTCATTTGTCACGTGTTTGGACCCGGGTTTCTAAAATTCGGCCGCCGCTTGTTGCTTCCAGCCGTGGAGGACTGGAACTTAACTTGTGGTATGTGATGCCTAGTTGAGATTGAAAAGAGTCCAGGTTTTCGCGCGGTCAGCTTTATCTGTGACAGCGGTTTATCTTCTGGTTGAAGGAGAACTGAAAAAAAAAATCATAAACATATAAATAACAAAAATAGGGATTAGAAAGATGAGTCAAGCTAGAAAAACTAATGTCTATCGTTCAACTATAATACACAGCTTAAATGTTAAATAGCAAGCATCATGGACACATTGTGAACTGAATGAGGGTTATGTGGAATGGTTGTAGCTTTGCCTTCTCTCGCTAACCACAATTCGCTGCCTAGTTTGTTGCCCTTCCCCTCGTTCAAGGTATTTTGTTTCATTTTGAGATTCATTATTAGCTCCTAGTGATATTTTCCGCAGATTTGATTCGCTGTTGCGATTTCCCTGCTTTTCGGCCAGCGACATACTCTTGTGAAGCGCTCCAGACACTGACTAAAAGTAATTTGTACTCTGTGCCACTATATGCTTAAACAGTGGATAGCATTGAAGGCGCGCTCTGATGGGGGACTCTGAGTGGCTACTCAAACTCCGAAAAAAGAGAGCAAAGCGGGGTCCGTATAAAAACGACCAGGCGCCAATATTCCCCGGTACCGCTCGAGCAAGCGCGGTCAGTAAATAGTGTGTTATATGGCATTTGCACTAAACTTGTTTATTTTTAATTTTTCGGCTTTCGAGAGCCAAAATACACGGCTCAAGACCATTTTCACCGGAAAGGTTCGTATGCCAAAATCCTGGCCAAGCAAGAACCAATCAGAACACTCGGATTTACCTCAAGAATGCCTCACCATAAAAAAATAAATAATAACAATAATTTATAGACTTATATTGCGCAATCATCAATGTAAGATTTTTCAATTGCGCATTACAATTAAATGTTAAAAATTCAACCCTTCATAGATACATTCAACCCTACATAGATACAAATAAAATTAATAACCTCCGACACAATCTAACCTCGCTCCAGAAGATCCTTACTCAGCTGCACTCCGTGCATATGGCAAAGTTCCACGACATCATTATACTCCTTCATGGTCATCTTTCGGTAGCGATCCACCATCTCCCCCACCCTACCCCCTAGGGTGGATGGAGCCACAGACACTTTTTCTGGCGCAGTTCTCTTTTTCTGTTTGGCTTTTTCTTTTTCTTTCCGTTTTTGTTGTTTTTTCATGCGTCTGTCTTTTATCTGAAATACCACAAAAAAAAGATTACATTGTGCCTCTGTATGGTGGCTGAGGGCTGCCAATGAAGAAAAAAGTTCTTTACTTTAAATTTTATGTCACTTTATTTTCCATCATACATCTGGACTTCAATGAACCGTGTTCGCGTACATAAAAAGCGACGGATCTCTCAGTATCTCAAAGCGCCGCGCTCAAACAGTGTGCTTCGTGCGCCACTGTTATCGTTATTATCCAGGAACTCCATACTTTTTCTCACAAACCGAACGGTAACGGCAAAGAATGCCACAACAGCAATACCTTGTGCCAATGTTTTCATTGCACAAATAGAAGGGTATTATGACCAAGAGTATAACTAAATCGCCACTTTAGTAGAGGCATACTGATGACGTTTTCTGAGGGTCTCAATGAGGTGATGGCTTTTATGGCTAATGGTTAACATCTTTCCGTTGTTTCCACTAGAAATGTTTTTTACGGTTACCTTTTTTTACGACTAACGGTTAAAATTTGTAAATTTTTACGCCTAGCGACTAAATTTTGTGGCCGTTTTACTGCTATCGGTTAACCCCATTGAGGACCTCTTTTCTGTCTATGGGACAGAACGAAAGACAAAATTGAAGAATTCGCAAGACAATAATATGTCAAACACGGTAAACTTTCCCTTTCTGTATGACAGAAAGCACTGAGAATGGTCATTACCCCCGCAATGCATCCTGGTGGAGCATGACCCTATAAGTTTAGTTCGCACAATTAGATACATGTAAGTCTTTTATATTGGATAACAAGATTCATCGTCGACTTCTCCATCATTTGAGGGCAATAAATTGAGTGAAAAAAACAACAACCAGACTAACAAGGATTAATAATATGATCAAGTAAGAGCAATTTTTAATTAAGTGCCAAAATTAGTCCGGAATGCCTTGTTTTTGCTTTACTTCGCTTTGTGATTGGTCCAGAAAACTCACGCCACTCTCTCAACCAATTAGCTGCAAAACTAAAAACCGAACACGACTTGGTCGCCCGCGTTTTCCCGCGCTTTAGGCAGTCGCATTGTTTTTAACCTTGAGCTCTCATTGGCTCTTTAAGGTATTTTCCTTCTTCTTCTGATTGGCTATTATTTTCACTGATTTTGTTCAGATCACATGGTTTTCAGGGGGAATCATTAGTCGTCGTTAACAAAGTATAAAGGGAGGACTATGAAAAAAGAAGGATACTGAGGGTAGGGGTCGGGTCATTTTTACCGAGACACAACCAGAATCCTCAGACACCCGCCACCTCCCCTCCCCTTCCTTCCAGGGGAACAGTCCCATACCTCATCTTGAGTCAACTGGTCCACTTTCTCTGATAACTGAACAGGTGGTATCTCCAACAGGGTGGGTGATAAGCTCTCAATACTTCCACTACTTGTGGGTGACACAGGCCGAGAGCGCCGCAACTGGGGATCAGACCCTGGCCGCTGTGCTATAAAGGCCACTGGTTGTACAGGAGCAGATGAAGGGGTTAAGGGTCTCTGTGGTGAGGATGAGGGTCTTTTTTGAGGGTTGGCTCGTGGTGAGGGTGGTCTTTGAGGTGATGGAGGTCTTTGTGTTCCAGTGCCAGACCATTTTTCGTTAGCAGGGTCATAAGCAGGTTCAGGCTCCTCAAAAATGGTTTCAGGTCTTTTGGAAGTTTTAGTGTTAGCAGTTTGGACAATCTCTGCCGCTTGTTTAGTGACCCTTCAAAAGAAATGAAGGTTAAAAATTAATGCACCCAATTTGCCAGTTCATGCCATAATCTCATCTAAATCAAGGCTGTGTAAGGTTATATTTTTATTGTTCTTTATTCCTTTCTTTTTTCTTTTTTTTCGCTGTTGTGGAGCCTATGTCACCCAACACCTACGTTTTTGGAATTTTGTTCATGTACCTGTGAAATTCAGTGTTGTAACTGACCAGTAACAAGTCACTTTGAGGCCATGTCAACTTGCTGACCCCAATATACCACACCACATATAGATAACTAATGGTGTCAGCCAGTTGGTTTTGGCAAGTTGACATGTCCGCAAAGTGGCCAGGTACTGACCACTGCTTTCTTAGTCTAACTTCTAATACTTGTGTGCTGGGGGACATTCAATGACTTCCAGCCTCTTGACATAAAAGCTTTACACATTAATTTTAGAAGTTCAAAGAACATTCTAATATTTGAATATTTGATTTGGTATGATCTGTGACTGGCCATATTGAAGAAAACACTTAGTACCCAGCCATAACCCAACCCTTTAACTCCCAAGATCTGATGCATAATTCTCCCTTCTAGCTTCTACACATTTCCTTGTAATTTAGTTAAGAGAATTTGGTGTTAGATCACGATAACAACCTCTACCTGATAAGTTTGAGTATTCTCATAACCTGTTTGCTGGATAATGTTATTGGATATTATTGGGAGAAGTCTCATGTTAATCACTAATGGGAGTTAAAGGGTTAATCACATGCAAACCCAAAACCAATTGTGACTTTGTCACTGGTATTGGCCTAAGCTGGCAGCCAGTTACCTCATTCAAAGTGTTTATTTCTTAGTTCTCATTTCCCCTTCTGATATTGTTCTTTGTTTTCATTGGCTATTGCATCTTTGATTTTGTTTGTACAAAACTGTAAAATGTCCAGTATAAGAGCACTCAAACAAAGCCAAACAGGACAAACCCAAAAAATTGTAACAGCCCTGGATATGAGCGACAAAAAGTATTTCAGATTTGCAAATTAAAACAGAATATTGTACATGTATGCCCACCTCTCCTCCAGATACGACTGTCTACCAACTGCCAGTTCTCTGTAGTCTAATGCATCACTGTTATCTCTGTCCAGAGCCAATATCAAATCCTCCAAATCAACATCTGTGAGTGGAATCCGCCATGATCGGATAATGTTCCTGAACTCCTGCCGTGACACCACCCAGTTCTTGTCTTTGTCAGCTTGAGCAAACAGATCCAACAGGCGCATCCTTTTGCGATCTAAGTATTTTTGAATGATAGCTAAGGCAGCTGGGGAGGGATGGTGAATGGTAGGTACCCCCCTGTCTTCACCAGTTACTGTTGTGTCCTCTTCAGTCTCTGGGGGAGGAGTGGGAGCCTGGTGAGTAACAAAATGAAAATTTATTACAAGAACATGAATGCGTTATTACAGTGGCATGAGCCTCAAAGATAACTGATAAAAGGACTTGTGGCAGCTTTAAAATCAGTAAAAGCTGTTTCATAGTATGAACCCACTGTGCCAGTAACTATGGTAGATCCATGATATTAAAAACAATAATCATGCATCAACACAATAGTTGAAAAAACTGACACAAAGTTTCTCATTTCGTTGGTGGTATAAGTAGGGGAGGAGTGATTGACCTCCACAGCCATCCTTTGTTAAAACTTCTATTGAAAATTTGGAGCTCAGCCCAGCCCTGTTTCTACATTTCCTTTAATTCTCTGAGAAATGGTAGAAGTATAGGTAATAACATGATTTCTCTAGCAATTTGGTGTTAATAAGCAGGAGTAAAGTTTTCATAGACAACAAAATTGTACAAGCTGGTGGGGCAAGTTTAATTTTTAGTCTTTGAAAAATTTATAGTGCTTTTCAACAAATTGCTAGAGAAATCATGTTATTACTTGTTTACATGTATAATGTATCTGAAAAAACATCACGGAAAGCCAAGAAACATGTAGAGGTGGTTGTGTGAGCATAATCTTCATCATTATTAGCCTTTCTGCTCACACTATTACAAGTAGATAACAACTTGTAAGAGCTCAGAATATCCTTGAAGATCTTGTCAAGAATAAAAATATGCTTAAAGATCTTGGCAGGAATATGAAAGATTCTTGAAGATCTTGGTGAGGAAATAAAAGATCCTTGAAGAACTTGACAGGAATATGAAAGGTAATTGAAAATCGATCTCAAAAAGAATTTAGAGGTAGAGGATCCTCAAAGATTTCTCAGAGATCTTTAACCCTTTAAATCCCAAGATCTCAGTAATAATTCTCCTTACTGTCTGCCATACAGTTCTTATGATGTTAGTTTTGAGAATTTGGCATTGAATCAACTTATAATCCCCTTATTGATATTTTTCTTTATTCTTGTCACTTGCCTGCTTGATATTGTATTGATATTGTAAAGAGAAATTCTGTCTTGGTCACTTAAGAGAGTTACTCGGATTAGCATCTCAATAGGATCCTCAAAGGTCATTATGAAAATCTTTGAGGATCTACAACATAGGAAAATCCTTCAAATATTTTCACTAAGAGTAAACAGAATGACTTTTCCATAGATTCCATAATTTTACGTCTGGGCTGCTCCAGAAAAGATGTTTTATTAGAGAAACTGATCTGTTGCATGTTTTTGAATGAATTATCAGCCCTAACAATGTTGCTTGAACAAACTTTCCTTTTTCTCACATTAAATTTCTGTGCCTGAGGCTCGACCCACATCCTTATGGCATGTGTTGACTTATTCAGTTTTTGTTCTTAGTTACTCAACAAGGAAAGCTCTCACATGATTTACAACATATTCTTAAACCCCTCAACTCCCAGGAGTGATTAACAAGTTACTTCTCCCTATAATATCCAAACATTATCCAGCAAACAGGTCATGAGAATATTCAAACTTATCTGGTTGAAGTTGTTATCTCGATGACACCAAATTCTCCTAACTTATTTACAAAGAAATGAGTAGCAGCTAGAGGGGAGAATTAACAATCAGATCGTGGGAGTTAAAGGGTTAAGTAACACACCTTTTTGATTGTAATCTCAGGTTTTCCTTTCAACAGTATTCTTTTCAAAACTCTTCTTTCAAGTTCAGTTTTACCAGTCTTGTTTTTAAGCCAGTCTTGTCTGAGTCCACAGTTGTTTAAAATTTCCCTGGTCTTTTTCCGTTCCTGCAACTGCTTCTTGTATCTTTCAACTTGCCGAGCGAATATGTCATCTTCAGAATCTTGATAAACATTCTTGTCTGAATGGTTTAATAGTCAAAGTAAATTAATCTTGCGGGGAAAAAACTTTCTTATTTTTAGTAATACAGTAATAATTAAGATACTGATATGTTTTGTAAATTCAATGAATCATCAGTGTGAACAAAAATTATGCCATAGCTTCTTCATCTGAGCTAAGTAAAGCCGACCGGGTTGATTTCAGAGATTTAGCCTTAACACTTTACTGGTTTTTATAAAATTCAATTACTCCATAAAGTAATCGACAGACTAGAGCGGATTGGCAAGACTGGCTGGTTCAGATATTTTCCCATATAAACAATCCTACCTGGTTGATGGGATGAACTTTGAAGGCGAATCGTAACTTGACCATTTCAACTCAGATTTCAAGGGAACACACTAAGATTTTTACCTTAATATAGCACGCAGTAATAATCGTTCACCTGATCAGACACTTACAATGAGGGACCCGTTACTTATCTACAGTCTTTTCTTAAAAACCGTGTTCATCGAGTTCGTAGAAAATTTAATTGCCTTCCTTGAACTTTTTCAAAAAGAAGCACGTATGCATGCACATGTACAGATAATGTTTTTAAAAGCTTCTTTAAAGAAATGATGCATTTATGTGCTTAAGACTGACCAAATATCCTGTATCATCCATGTCCTTACCTTTATCTTCTGCTGTCACATTCACTTCTCTAGCCGCACATTTTATGCTGGGCACAATTATAACTCGTCTTCTACTCAACTCCGACGATTCGCCCCATTTCCTAACGTTGTCACGGAATTTCTTCGAAGGTAAGAGATTTCGAACCTTTGGCGGTTTAATTCCATGCTCTTCGTATTGTTCGGAACCTGTAGCTTTCATAATCATTGGCTACGATACATAGATAACATAAATAAAAGTGCTCCAGGCCCTAAACCTAGACAGTCTTTAAGTCAATGTTGTCCGCCATCTTGGAAACTTTGTGAGTAACTGTTGTTACGTGTTGCTATGGACGCTTTGTGTGATCTGTCCCTCCCCTCCCCAATATATCACTGTTGTTTAACGCGCAGGCTTTCTGTTTAGTCTAGCGTCTTCAAGTCAAGACTTCGGAGGATTCTATTAGGGTGCTCTTCGCTAAGTCACGACCTTTTCAAAGAAATAGCATTGAAAAACTGAGTTACCTTTTTTTCTTTCAATTTTGAAATCCAAACTAAGATATCGGACTCGCTGGAGGTCGAGGGAAGTTTTTGATCGATAAGCTTAAGGGTCCACATGGAACTCTGCTTCAGTTAATGCCCTTGAACTAAGCCGCAAGCAGTATTTGAAATGCTAGATAAGCTATAATTGTTTAAAGCCGATGTCGTAAACCAGGGCAGTGGAAAACAGAGTTTATATATGAAAATAAATCTTTCGGCTAATCAATATGTAGAGGATTAACAGTTTTTGCTCCGTCGCCATTAAAATCGCTGTTTTAATTTAGAGACCTGGCTGTCGCGTCAGCTTACGTTGTATTTTTTTTTTCAGATAAACATTTATAACCTATCATAGACTCTTTTATCATCGCAATGACCACAGCAGCCTCTAATTTTTTTAAATGGCGGCGGTTATTCGCGGCGCAGCGATATTTGATACCAAGTGTTATTATGGAACGACAATTCATTATTTTTTTCACTTAATAACAGTAAGTTAAATTATTTATTTGGTATTGTCGATGTCCGTCCTCGGTTACAAGCACAATATTTCGTACAAACAAACACACAAAATGATTCTAAACAAGATATAATTTAAAAGTAATAATAACAATAATAACAATAATGATAATAACAACATTAATAATAATAATATAATAATAATAATAACTAGTCTATTAGGGTTTTTAACGTTTGCTGCGTTTGTTCTCCTGTTTGAATCACGATCAAATGTTTCCCTCCTTCAGGCGCCATGATGATTTCATGCTTCTTGGTGCGCACGCGCAGAATTTTCAGATCGTTTCGCGGGTCTGTGTCCCTCACGATCCCGCGCGCAATCCCGCAGAGCGTGTTACACATGGACACATATTGAAGGGTGGTCGAGTTGTCCAGTGTAGACCTGATCGGATTTCCATCCTCGCTAACAATGACAAGTCCTACAACTCCTTTATGAGACTGGATACGTTCCAGCATTTCTTCAACTTCAACTCTTTTCTCGCTCGTCATCTTGTGGTTTGTAAGACTGACTGGAACAACACCCAAGCAAAGTAGTTAAGAAAGGAAAACTGTAAGAATTTGCACATAATAATCGCCTAAAAAATGACGAAACATACAGGCTTCTCAGGTATGTTTTCTTGCCCAGACCCTCCGCTGCCAAGTACATTGGAGAAGTCTGGGTGAGAAGAGTCGCGTAATGTCGAGCAAATGTCCGAAATATGAAGAGAAGGTTGAATCAGTGGTTTCAAGACACCGTAATGGGCGTTCAGATTAAGGGTATAGAAAATTTAGATCTACTGGTCGACAAGTGTCGTGTGCCTCATGACACTTGTCGACCAGTAGATCTAAATTTTAAATAACAGTAATAATTAAAATTTGTTTAGTGCAAATAGCAACTCGAGCCTCTTTTTTTTCTCCTTATTTACCATAAAATAGTCCGATTCCTAGGGCAATGGCTTAACAAGACAAGAATTATCGTGAAATCTGGCAAAAATAAAAGATGAGAGAACCTTGCTGCAGTTTGAGTTGAGAGCTTTTTCATACTTTCATTAGGAACTAGACAAACACTGGGGCGTTTGATGATAAGAACAAAAAATTGATTATCAATCTGCACTATGCTATGAACGTATTTGTGTGATGCTACCATATTATGTCGAGGCCAGCTGTAAAGAAAAAAATCACGTCGATTGAATTTCATTGGGGATCAAAGAATAGCGAATTTTATCACCTTATCTCTTATTCATCATCCCATTTATTCTATTCTGCTTTCATTTCACAATATAGATCTTGAAATGAATCTTTACTGTATTTTGAAGATGTTTTGGAGCGTGCCATTAAATTTTACAGACTCGTTCCGAAGAAAAACAAAGGATACATAAATAATTTGATGCCGGCTTCATGAAACATTTAGTAGTCACTTTTGGGCGACTTTTAGTCATTTTGAATTCGATTGAATTTTTTAGATTTTTGGGAAATTTTTGCAGAAAATTTAAAATCTATTCAAACCGATCAGAAATGCTTCCTACTGGGTACCTTAGACAATTTACTAGAAAGACCAAAACAAAAAATTTAAACACGATTCGATTCTTTAGATCGGCGATCGATCTTTGTGTTTCGCTTTCCTCAAAGGACGTTATCTATCTCAGCCAAAATTAATTTTGACTATCAGATGGTATAAATCAGTATCGTCGGAAAACATCTTGAAAAGTTGCTAAATTTTTTGTTTTTCGTACACACCAAAATGTTAACGGCGCATGCACTGTTAAAATGCCGAAACAAACAGACAGCTCCACCGCGTGAAACGGCGCCATTAACATTCGTTTTCTTGTCATAGGCCTTTAGATGGATAATTATCTAAGAAAATTTGGGGGAAGTAAGCGAAATTTGCCAAAATTATTTAAGAATAGCGTATAGGCATAAACTGGGTCTAGAATTTTAAGGGTTAAGGACAGTGAGGAACGGTTTACGTATATGATTTTAAACATACTAATCTCGTTTTTGAGATAACCTCTACGCGAGGAAATAAAATCTTTACAAACCTGTTGTAGTTTCCAGCCTGGCGAAATTAATTTTTCCAAGTAATTTAAGACTATATGTAGAAGCTTATATCTGCGAAAAGAAGGCCGGGAAATCTCTCACTTCGATATGAACAAATCTTTTGAAGCGCAGCCAATGCAGATTACAGCAGATAATCTTAGCAACGGCGGTATTCATTTAGTCAGTCGAATGAAGAATGAATTTGCATGGAAAAATACTGTTATCGAGCGAAAGTCAACTGTTTCATTGTTTTATGACAAAAGGAGCGAAAGAGGGTATTATTGTTAAGACTTAAGTACACACTACCTTTAATTTGAGCGTACGTTTCGCTTAAAAAGTCGCGTATCATTCAGACAGCAGTTATTAGTTTTCACTGAAAAAGCAACCTGACTGTAAAAGCAAATCTTATTACATTTATGTCCTGACTGTGAAATTATGTCTTTCGAGTGCTCCATCTTCTCTAAATGTTTCACGATACTATGTGATATCTGTAATCTTTATTTCATTTTATAAAACCGATTCAGAAATTTTTAATGAATTTCAGTTGACAATTAGTATCTTCTCTGAGTTGTTCGCTAATTATATCTATACCGTCTGTATAATAAGAAAATTTTATGAATCATCCTATGAAAGTATCATTAATTATTAATCCCTTGAGATAAAATTGCTTGTTTGTTTGCTTGTTTAGTTTTTTTCTTTCTTCTCGTGGGATCAGATGGTTGCACACGAATTGAAGAAGCGATCCCGGTTTGTCCAGTGCCATAGAAAAACTCATTTGCCGTTGTTTTCGCGAGATTCACAATTAATTGTTATATCATTATTACTTGTTGTCAACGCTTTTATCTTTTACATTTCATTGTTTCACTATTTCGTCTTGCAGCAGGAAATCACATAGGGCGAGTCATTCTGAATCCAATCCGATCTGCAGTAAAACGGTTTAATCTTCTCCTTTACGGCTTGTCTTATTTCTCGAATTTTCGAAAGGAAGGATGAAATGATTTCTTATTCCTCTTGTAATACAAACAAGCCAGCAAATGACTAAAGTTACTCTTACTCGCCACAGAGTTACCACTTGTCGATATCTTAGCCCAACTGAAACATCTAAAAGTCCGTCTCTATACTCATTTTGCAGTTAGTGTGAGGACAGACACGCCACAAATGACCCCCAAGGCTCGGTTCATGGGTGAGGCACAATAACAAATTGAAGAGTGTTCTTGGGAAATTATGTAAGCAAGATGAAACGGCTGGAAAATGAGTCCAACGCTAACATCAGTGCATGCAAGATTACTGAACAGACATTTTGATGGTGGATGAAGGGAAGAAATCTTGCAGAGAGGGAAAAGAATGAGACCATTTCCCACAATGGCTGCAATGGAAATTACAAGATCACGTAATGAAACAAACTGATAAGCAGACTTCGATCATATACGCCCGTGAAGCAACGAAATTGAACAATTCTGATTTGGTTCGTATTTCCTGTTAGGTTCTCTATGTTGGTTTATTGCAGTTACCACTCTCTCACTGTTGAAGGCGTTGAGAACTCCCTTTTTGAATACTTGAACACCAAACTGAACATTCAAAGAACGAATCTAGTTTCCGAAATGACCAAGCGATTATGTGTAAGTCTCTCTAGCAGTGTAAGACTTTCAAATGCGGAAGGGGGGTTTTCTGTTCAAAAAACAAAAATCTAGTTTAAGCGTTTTCGGTCAATATCATTTATTTTTCGGGTAATCTTTTCATATGGTGATTTTCCAATATTTCCTGTGGCTTATTTTTTCATTTTACTTCAACGAAATATAGAGGTAATTTTTTCTTTTCAGCTGGCTAATTGCGGTGGTAACATTGTTTTCCCGCACGCTACAGCCTCTTCGTTGCAAAGCAATTTTCATTAATTTTTAAAGTTGTGTTTCCTCTTCAGTTCCTAATCGTATTCATTCCGAGGAAAAATTAATATCGAGCTAAGATTTTCACAAAGATTTTTCAGCCTTGCACTTATGTTTCTTGATAAGTTTAAGAGTACCACCACTCACTAACATATTTTGACGACGTGCCGGCAAATTGACTCTAGCTAATGAGTTCTAAATTTAGGGAACACACTCGCGGCAAAATAATTCATTTTTTTGTTATGAATAAGAGGAAACTAGCAGACGAAGGACTATTAAAAGAACAATGCAAAAAAATTTCAACTAGTGCTATGATAAAAACAGTAAGAAATCATTCGTTATATGTGGTAATAACCTCTCTCGCCCAAACCAAGTTGTAGGAAGTGAGTGGAATTAGCGAAATAGCACCGTTCAGATCCATTAGATGGTGTGCTTAAAAAAGGAATAAGCAGATACCAGGCATTTCGTTCAGCAAAAGCTTTCGATGAATGAAAATGGCATTGACCATTTCATTGTCAAGATGTGAATTCTGAAGAAATGAAACTAATCATCCAAAGCTGTGCAAACAAGCTATCAAATTACGCCGACCAGAAAACGCGATAAATTTGCATAAATGAAGACTTTTTCAAAATAACTATTTGAAACAATTGCGAAAACGATGATGAAACATCCAAATGGAAAACTGAGATGATATTTCGGGAAATGGTACTAAGATTCAGAACGTTCACGTCTTTTGTCGGAGATTATAGTGGTTGATATTTGTTAATTCATGTACGACGAAACTTCAGATCCGAGCGTGCGAGAGTAAACAAGCTTGCGTGTCTAGTGTCAAACGAAATTTTAGCAATGTGTCATCAACACAATAAACGGACAACAGCGCGTCACACTTTTCCGCCGTCTTGAATACTAAAGAACTGAACCGAGAGACAAGAGTGCCCGACCGAGCACAGCAATTTTTTTTCAGTCGCCGAATCCAAACGTTAGTCCACATGCCTGGTTGTCAACAGTAACTTTTAGTGTACTGCCTTCACAGTATCCAGGTTACATTTCAAGTTGCTAACGTAATATCAAAGGAATCATTTGCTTTGACGAAGGGCTAACGCTCGAAGCGTCAGCTTTGAAACTCTTTACGGTGGCCAATTTACGTTATCAAATCAGCTGATAATATTAAATTACCCTGTCATGATACTCTCCCACAGACGCAGCACCACAGTTTCTTTAGAAATTTACCCCCTTTCTTGCTGTTTCAGGTGGGTTGCTTAGCTTTGCTTCGTGTGCGGAGTCAAACGTTTCTGAGGTTGTGGAATTGATAACTATATAACAAGCTCGTTTTTTCATTATGACCTCATTTGTCAATGATTTTCTCAGTCTCATAAGGCTGCATATGTGCTTTCAACCTCAGGATCAACTGACTCTAGCAAATTCTTTGGAGCTCAGTTTTAAGGTTACTTGCGAGGAATCAGAAGGCAGAAATCCTCTTTGTTCTCCGATGATATTTTTCACTTTGTCCTTTTGTGGTGAAAAAAAAAAAATTAGAGAGCTCCATGCTATGACATCTGTGAAGTTCTTTTAAACATAATGAAGCATCTTCTCTTGCCTTTAAGTTTTCTGTACCTTTAGGCGTTAAATCTCAATAACGAAGAGAAGAGAAAAATTTCTGTAGTTTGCGTAGTCTGGATAGTTTTTTAATTCAAGAAATAACACAATTGTTTTACTGTGTCCTTTGCTTCTTGTCTTACTTCTCTCATCTTCCAGCAGTAAAGAATGGGATTCAGAGACGAATTTAAATAAACCAAAGTTGCTGTGGAAAGCCAGCTAACCGCGCCTTCGGATGTCACTCCTTGTATCCATAATATAGATTCAATCCCATAAGGAGCATAGCAAAAAATCTGTGCCAACTGTACCCATGATATGCTAAAAACTGTCTTCTTGTACCTTGTCATGTCATTTAGCGGAATTCCTCCCCCGTTGGGCAGCCCATGATTGACGCTGTCTCGGACTCGTGTTTGATGCTCCAGCAACTTGATATAAATCTTTATGTAAGAGAAAATAGAAGTAAGAAGGCAAAGTATCAGAAAAAAAGCAACTACAATCCACGTCACACGAATACTCCAAAGATACATTGATCCACCAAAGACGCTTACTGACCAAAGACATAACAGAACTACACGGACACGTTTCAGGGTAACAACTTGTCTGTACCTAAGCCCCAATAAGAGAGCAAGAAGCCTGTCTAAGCTTATAGCGGTGGATGTTAAAGCTGATACTCCGCATAAGATGTAACTTGAAACATAATTTCCTAAGATGAAATAGCTCAGAAGATCTCTGTTCATTTTTGTTGACCGAGGCATCACAGCCACAGCGTAGAGAGGCTGCGAGATGAGGCCAACACAAAGATCAGTGAAAGCCAGACATCGAAACAGAAGCTTTGTTGGAGGGTGAAGAGAAGAAACTTTACGGAGTGCCACAAGAATCAAAACGTTTCCGAGTGTTGCTGTTATGGAGAGAACAATGTTCAAAACTGGAATGAAAACGTGACGTTGTTTCCCCAACGCTGACAAGGCTGTGCTTGTTATGTTTAGCGTGAGCTCTCTTGTGAAATTTTTTTCCATAGCAAAGCCCTCCATTGCTCAGCCTAAGAATTAGAGTTTGGGAGGATCGCAATCTCGGTCTCGCTCACTCAAAAAAGCACAATCTGTCTCCTTCTCCTGACGGTTTTCAAGAAGTTTTACGTGTTTACTTATCAGTACCTGTTATAGTATTTAGCCAGCGACTTGCAAATTGGGTCATCAGGCTTTCAAATACTTTATTCTTAGTCGCATAAATAACCCGTTTTTGGTTAACAGATATGTCAGCTTGCTTGTTTTGATAGCACAAAGGGTAACAGTATATGATTATTGACGCACTTAAGTTATTGTTGTGCACGTGGTGGTGTTTGGTGGCCAACCAAGACCTTTCAAGTTTATTTAAATTTACTTCATTGACATTAATTTTACAAGATATGGATAGAAAAATGATCCATTTACTATTGTTATCATCTCTGAAATGTTTGTATTATCACGATAAATTGCGGTGCTAATCGCTCCATTGGAAGTTTATCAAATGATTATTTCTTAACTATTCATCGAAGTGGAATTGGCTATGGTGGATATTTAACAAGCTGCGAAGCGGAGATGTAAATATTCACCTCTAGCCACCTGCACCTGCACTTTAATTTCGTGTGCAGAAATTTCAAAACCCTATTTGAACGATAAATGCTTACTACTACGTATATTGAACAGTCAAAAAGATAAATGCCGAACTGGGAAAGAAATCTGAAGTTTAGTATCATCCAATAATGTTCAGTTAAACAAGACTGATGAGCATATGACTAGTCTATTACATAAATTCTGGATAAAACAAGTCGTGGAATACCGGCTTGTGGCACTCCGGATTCAAAGAGCAGAGGGTCAGAGAACTCGGAATTCATGAGCACTACTTGTTGTCTATCAGATAGATTAATGATGAACAAAGCCACGCCGGAAGGCCAGACTTAATTTTCCATGATTTTCTCATTCAAAATGCCTTCGTTTATTTTCTCAAAGGTTTTGCTCATGTCAAGAAACACAACAACGGACAATAAGAAAATAACCACCGTTGCCTATTTCTCTAAAAACGAGTTTCGTAGAATCATAGCACAGTACTTTTCACGATGAAAGTTTAAGTAATGGGTTGGTCGATCTTAGCTTTATATGTAAGTTCATTAATTTATTTAAAACAAAATTGAAAAATGATTAAATGAGAATCCATTATTATACTAGCTAGACTGTGTTTCTCGAAAACGCAATCCATTGCTCGATTAAACACGACAGATTTGCCGCCGAAGTGCACCAGAAAGGCATGATTAGTATCAACAACTTCAAATAGAAAACAATGCTATCCTGGCACTTGAAATATCTCTTTAGGCCAACTTCTGCAGTAAGAATCATCAGAATGGGTTCATCTATGTTTCAAACTTTTTAAAACACTTTCTCAGACAATGATTAGAAGCAGTGATGTGAAATTTTAACATTCAAGACTAATCAGCTTACTACCGCCCATCTAATCAACAAATTGGAATAGAGAACTCGATTGAAAAGGCCCGTGAGTCAGTAGCTGTCTACAAAAAAGATAACATGTATTGGGTTAATAATACGCTAAAAATATGCTACTTTTGGTTGCTAAGCGAGCGTAAGCTGGGGATAGAAAAATATATACACTAATCAGAACTAACGCAGCGCTACTGGATTTTCGTCAATCTTACTCTTTGAAGGAGCCTAATTAAATGTCATTTTAGTTTATGGTGTCCTTCAAATCTACAGTTAGATCCAGACCAGCAATTTTGCTGCAATGAATGGAGTAAACGAAACGAGTTTAGCTTATATAAGTTTATTGAAGCATTTAGGGAGTGCTTTACAACAAGTAAATTATTCTTAATTAGATTAGGAAATATTACTTATACTAGGAACAACACTCACAAACTTACGCAGCATTTCTGACTTGATCAGTTATAAAAATTATCTTAACAGCAATTTCTTTTTTTTTGTTTTTTTTGTCTCTATCAGCCTACAGTCAATAACATCAACAAAGCACTGAAAAGTGCACCAAGTGAATAAACGGTAAACTAAGAAATGCAAAAGTGAAGTAAATAAACAAGTTTTTCTTTGAAGGAAATTCCACTTAACCTCCATTTATAAACTATGAAAATGGTTATCATCACTACCGAAGCATTACTAAAGTAAAAGTACGATAAAACCTACGTCTTAAATCAAAAACTATGAAATATTGAGGCTGAAATTCTCGAAATCTAAACTACAAATTACCACAGTGTTATAAGAATACAACCTTAGAGGTTCAGCAATTCTGCTATTAAGCCTCAGTCCTGCACAAGAGGGTCTCAATGGGGTTAACCGTTAGCCGTAAAACGGCCAAAAATTTAGCCGTTAGGCGTAAAAAGGAAAGAATTTTAACCGTTAGCCGTAAAAAAATGTCAACCGTAAGAAGGTCTAACCACAAAATAAGGTCTCGAATTCTTTTGTTGAGTCTAATGTGTTATGCGTTTATGTGTTCTGGTGGCGAGAATTACAATCGAAACCGGAAGTGTCGAAAGTGTCTGCGTAATTTGTCGCATGGATGTCGTTGCGTGAGTTGACAGACGTTTTGACAGCTCTAGTATTTTACGACTTTCTACTTTCTTTCATGCTGACTTGTTGCGATGGCTGTATTAAAGCGATAGTAAGTCTCTATCGCGCTGGAGAAGAGAAGCCTATAGAAATATATAAGGCCAGGGTTAAAGTCGCGGAAGAGAATAAATTATTTTCGTCGTTCCAAAAAAATATTATTGAGTTTCTTGGGCTCAACGAGCAATCTCAAAAGCTCGGCTTGGGGTCATTTGACCTGAAATTTTACCGCCTGACGAAAATCAATGGCAAAGCGGAGAATTACGCCATAACAACACAGCAGCAACTGGAGCTGGAATTGCCCTTCTTGCTTGGCTCAGATGGGGAAAGCAAGCTAAACGGTAAGAAATCCGTAATTTTGATAAAAATGGACAATATGTGTGTATGCAATTGCTCAGATTTGCTTTATTTAGAAGTTGCTGCCAGCAGGCACATGGTAATACTTTCGCTATCGCCAGTCAAGAACCGACTATGCTCTGGAGTTTTGTAATTTCTGTATCGAATTCTGTAAAAAACCTAGTCGTATAACATTTTTAATGCACGTTTTTGCTGGATTATGTACTGGAAAAGTCACGTTAAGTTATTGGATGCTGCACAATACCGGACAAAACGCCCAGGAAATCGATGCAGCAAAATGTATCGATGTAATTTTAAAAAACGCTCAGTGCCCGCTTGAGCAAAGAACAAAGGCGATAAGTGCTGTGCAGTCGAGCTGGCAAACAACGCGGGTCACCTTAATTCATACAATTCTGACCAAAATTCAATCATCTTTTTTTCAGTTCATGTGATACAGTCTGTCATTCAATGGGGGAAGAACCCTGTCGTGGTGGTTAAACGACAAGATGACAATGTCAAAAGAAGCAACCCCCAGAACCCAAAGGAAGAATAGAAATCATCAACTAAAAGGAAATCACGTCAAGATGCAAAAGAGGATAGAGCGCTTATGAAGAAACTTAAAGAAGATAATGCGATAGCTGTGCGAACCGATCGTCAAAAGAGTGAGCTACGTGCGCTAAATGCAGGAACAGTATATTAAAATTTAATATAACGATAGCTTCGGCAAATATTTCAGTATAAGCGAAGAAAACGTCCAGAATTCTATAGAAGTTCAAACCTGTCTTTGATAAAGGATTTGGGGATTTCCTGTAATTATTTATTTTCACGTGGCTGAATTTCTCGTAGCAGTCAAATATGAGGCTTTTATAGCATTCCATGTAAAAGGAAAATTCTGCCTTCGAGTTCTGTTCCCACCATACGTATGCTTATGTCAGATTTCTTAGCATGAAGGAACTACTAGGATTTCCTCGTTCATCTCAGAGTTACCCTCAGCATCTAATTCGCCGGGTGGAAAGAGCCAATGTCGTATCTAAAAACACAGCACGTCGACTAATAATACTGTAAGACTCTTAGAAATATACGGCGATACTGCACACTAAAATGTCTTCAAGATATATATCGTTGTGTTTTCATTTTAGCCTGTTTTAACAAAAATGTCTTACACCTGAATGTAAAAAAGCATATTGGAGTTATGCACATATAATTATATTAAAAAGGCTAGTTACTCCTTCTGTATTTTTCATATAATTTGTTTCAGAGCTTGAGAAACTTGAAGGTTCGACAGCCATCAATGAGGCAAAAATCAAATACGGTCTTTGCTGCAAGTCGTACTCCGTTCAACTTGACAGAAAGACGGCAGCAAAAATATCATTTTTCAAAACAAGTAAGTATTTTTGTGATAACGACAGTATTTGCGCTTTGCTAAATAATCGCTTTTAATTTACCTTTAAGAACTTTTATTATAAATTTAATAACGTCCTTTAATCAGGTTATAGTGTCAGAATTTCCACGTGATCCGACTACAATGAGGTAACACCATACACGGTGTCCCACTCAGCAATCCTGTAAAACAGCGGATATTTATTTTAAATTGTTACTTTTATATTGAAGCTTAAAAGTTTAGTTGTATGTACGCATGTGTTTGTAAACTGTCTTTTTCTTTTGTTGTTATAGCCCACTTCAATGCATGTCAAAAAAAGAGAGGAGCCGGAGTTAAGGGAGTAAAAATGTTAGAGAACTTCTTTACCAAAGAAGCTGCAAAATGTTTACCTGAACCTACAAGCTTATTCTGACCGTATCAAATGACGATGAACAGGATCAATATGACTGCGCGGACGCAATTGTTTCTGAGAAGTAATGTCGCTATTCTATGACTTTTGTTACAGTGTACGTTAGTTTATGTCACAGTCGTTTGTTTATTTCCTGGATGTGATTGCTTATTGCTACACCTACGAACTGTTCAGAGAAGGGCGAATAAGCTAGGTTTGGTAAACCTTGATAGTTTTTGATTATCGACTAGACGACGTATTACAGCGAATAGTTTTTAATTAAATGTGAAATGTCTAGGAAATAAAAGTCAATAAACATCTATTTACCAGATGCTCTCAAGAGTTCAATGCAACGTGTTCTTTTATACAGTGCTATATAATAAGTAAACCATGAACCTGCGAAGATTAACGACTTGATCAGTCAACAAATCAGTTTCATAACGTAGCAGATGGCCACTAGGATACATTGACTAAGAAACTACTTCAAGAAAATTTTAGGACCTAGGCGACCTAGTGTTTTTCATTTACAGTGAAAGTGATGACTTTGATATCGGTAGTCCATCAGCTACAGCTTTCCCAGCTGACTTGGAAGAGGAAGACTGCGGTGGAGAAATAATAGAACGCGGTTCTGTTGAGTTCGAAGGCGGGAAAAGCGAAGTCCCTACCTCAAATGACGAAGACGACACTGAGGATCTTACAGCTGATGATCTGATATCCTGTACTGTGTAAGTTTTACCAATGAACTTTGTTGCTTTTGTTATACCCGCATTGGATGAGTGCATGTGTTTCATTATCACAGGGCACAGTTCTACTGACAGCCCACAATACCTTACTAAATATAGTCTGTAAAAGGTTACAATTGCCCGAGGTAAAATTTAATCTAACTGTTTTTTCTTTGTTGGGCTCCACAGATGCGTAGAGAGGGCTCATCCATTGGCCGAAAGGTTAAATAAACTAATCAAAGAAGGAAAGATTCCCGAGGAATGTCTATTTTACGGAATAGTTACAATCTAAATTGACTTGGTAATCAATAAATAGTCATAAGATAAGCCTCTAGTCTTTTTATTGCAGATATTAAATAGAGTGTTTTACATTATGTTCGATACAACTTATTGTGTTTGGAAATTGTGACAAAAATTAAACGCTCATACGTGCTCTCATTTCGTCAAGTTTTTAAACAAGCATTCCATTTTGCCATAGCAAAATTGTTTCCGTTTACCACCGTACGCACCCTTTAAATGGCGTTTTTTTTCTCATACAAATCGAATACACTTAAGAAAATTATTAATTTGATTAACTCACACTCTATTAAGACGGTTCTCTCCGTTTATGACAAAAGCCTTTGATACTAAGAGCAAAATGTTAAATATCAATAACAATGCAATCGCTTGTTTTCAAATAAAAGTAACTTGAAAGTTGAACAAATCACCAGAAGTGATGCAATATCTAATTTAAAGAAGATACTTCGTTAAGTGATACCTCAGTGCTAATTAATACCACACGACTAATTCATTACCGAACTACAAAATATTACCAAATTTCAGGAGATCTCTTACTAGGTCTGCCACAAACAAATTTACGAAATGGTTTCACAATACAACAATGAAAAGTTTGCAAAGTACAGCTATCTGCATAAACGAGCTGTTTTTCAAGTTGGCTGTTTTTTGTTTCTTTCTTTCTTTCTCTTCTTATTTTTGTGGTAACGGAAGATTAATTCATATCTATCCAATTTTCCTTATTCTGAAACCGATTAAATTATTTATTATTAGCATTCTTTGAGAATTAATTCATTGGTTTTTTTGTGCTTTTATTACTATCATTTTGTTAATCAATGACAAAGCTTTCGCATATTCTTCTAATACTTATATGGAGAGAAATTTAACTAACACAAACCTACACTGACTTAGTTTACCACTGAGAAGTGACGATTATGTACCCTAACGACGGTCACTGGCCCATTTTCCCAATCTCTTAGCAGAGGCCGTCTTTGCAACTTCCTCACTTGGTCCTGCGTCTTCATCTCCGAGATCTTCAACCCTGGAGTATTTTGCCTTGTCATAAGCGCCCAAGTTAAGAAGTTCCACGTATGTCTTAGGAAAAAAGTAACAAATGAGGGTAATACATTAGCTGCAGAGCGCTAAAACACTGGAAAGTCAAGCTGAAAAGTGCGATCACTTCCCCGGCGAACTGAGAATCTCTTTGGTTCAAAGTCGCGGATATACTAAGTGAGTTTCCTATTTCCCCTCTGAAAATAGAGAAGTTGCAAGTAGGTGGGTAGAACTGACCAGATTTATGCCCTGAGGACGATAACAACCGCCATAAATATCAGAAGGAGCCAACAAGTTGAAATGCCCGTAAATGGCCTGATGGGCTGGAAAATGTCTCTTACCAGAAGTATGAATGGTCTCAGCTGAAGCTTTTATAAAGCGACCGGAAATAAAACCAAAGCTACCAAGTATTGCTCCCAACACATGGGGCAAGGTAAGAAGTTTGAAAAGCTTTCGAGTCTTTAAAAAGCATAAAGTATGGGGAAGTTGTCAATTCTAGAAACAAACCTCTTCACGAATGTATTTGTCCATTCTTTGTCGCAGGCTTTCAAAAGGAGGACGGAAGTCAGGGTTACGGTTCCAGCACCTTTTCATGATATCATACCTGAAATTTAACAATCATGGTATACTCTTAACTACCTTTTTATGGATTGTGCAAAGAATACCAGTAAGGTCCTCCTACAGGAATCTTTGATTAAAAATAGTATAGGCAATGGTTAAGGTTTGTCCTTTTATTGAAAATAGTATAGGCAATGGTTTAGGCATGTTCTGGGACGTTGAACATATCGCACTACTACACTCTCTCTGATGTTTTTCAAATACATTTTAATGTCATAATTGTCCACGCCGCATCTCGCTGAATACGGTATGCTCCTGGTTCACATTCACATAACGGAAACCTACTGATATGATTGTAGTTCAGTTGCTTTATTGCAAAGATTTCAGCAATGAGAACGTTAAAATGTGTCGTCTTGGATCTTAGGTTATTTTTAGGAACACGTTGGTATTATGCTAAAAAAGTGCAACTCACAGTTTGTTATCAACATGATCGGGCTTTGGCATCTGATATCCCTTGGTGACCTCTGCAACCACCATGCCTTCTGACCATCCGTCGTACGGAATTCCTCCTGTCAAAGGATAAGGACAAGTGCATGTCACATTTCTTAATTTATCAACTCTACAGAGACCGTGTCACAACTAAGTTACAGGAAGGAACATTACGTAAGAACTAAAGAATTAGCTTAAAGAATTTTACAGTGATGAATGGCCAAGGAGTAAGTAAAAACAAATCTTTATTAAAATAATAGTAATTAAAATAGCATCACTTCTATAGCGCTTGCGCATTGCTGTTCTAAGCGTTAAATGTATTGACTGAACATAGCTTGGCTTACCAAGAGTAACTATCTCATACAGAACGATTCCATAGGACCACCTGGCAAGAGCATATCAGAAATATTCTACAATTAATCGCTGAGTGAATTTTGAACGTGAATTGATAAAGAAAAATCCAAAGATAGTCATTTCGTTAGTTTGGTGGATTAATATACATATCTATACATACACATCACTCAAGGTAGAAAGTCCAGCAAGTTCTCCCAGCAGAATCTCTGGTGCAGTCCATTTGATTGGCAAACATCCCTGGAGAAACAACCAATAAACGTTTGCCGTACAAAACTTATGTCCTTTTTTTTTTCAAAGCCATCTTTAAAAAAATATGAAGCTGCATAATGTAAATATGTTTCAATGAGAAAAGAAAGCTAAATTTCTGGTTCCCTTATAGGTCAATCTAATGTTAGCCTTCGTAAAGCTGTCACGGAAAACAGAAAATGTAACTCCTTTCGCGAGACTTTACAAAAAACGTTAATGAAATTGACATATCCCGATGCCCAGGCCAGAGTATTCATTCTGTTTATTTCTACCTCTGTTTTGTTTTGTTTCTTTCTTTTAATTCAAAGTGAGCTATGAAACCCTGTTGGTAGTCGAGGTACATTAACATTGTGCAGAGAATATGCTTACGCTTACAACTTTTTTCCAGAAAAACCCCGCACTGAAGCAACAAAAAAGTGTTTTCTACCTTTTTGGCATTTCCATGGCCATACTTGAAGCTTTGATATGCCATACCAAAGTCCGTCACTTTGCAAACATAGTTTTTGTCAAGGAGAACGTTTCGAGCCGCCAGGTCACGATGGATAATCTATCAGAAGATAAGGAGCCAGAATATAAAAGCTAAGAAACGATAGGTTTATATAGTGCAGCGGCGAATCAAACGTCTGAGTATATTCGAACGAAAAAAGGGCTCAAACTAAGTCGGCCCCATATAATGATTTAATGCTGACAAAACCAAGATTTCTATTTTTTTTATTAAAAAGAAAATTTTACAACAGCGAAAATAACGATAGTGATAACAATAATAATGATAACAGTAATAACTATGCTAATAATCATAATAATTATGATAATAAAATGAAATCTAGAAATGGTAAACCAACAGAGGACCCGTTGTGTTCCAAAAAAGAAAAACACAGATGGTTCTCTCTTTACCTTAGTTTCCTTTTACAGATTTCTAGGGAGTTCCATTTTTCCCTTTATTCCTTTTTTTTAAGTGTCGCAATAAGGTTTGTACATGAATATATATATAAATATTTGTCATAGTCTATCTTTGCGGTATGGTGCTCGATGCGTTCGCAGAGCGTGGGTATATCTGAAGGTTGAACTAATCAATAAGACTTAACTTTTCTGTGACTCTGAGTTTCACGCTTACGCGACATTAGACAGATTTTAGAACTCTGGGTCACAGAAAGTTATGTCTCAGTGATAAAGTCAACCCTCATATATATATATATATATATATATATATATATATAAATCTTGATTATAGTCTATCCTTGCGGTATAGTGCTCGATGCGTTCGCAAAGCGCGGAATATCTGAAAGTTGGACAAATCAATAGGACATAACTTTACGAGTTTACAGATCTTGATCTGTCTGATGATCGCGTAAGTGTGAAACTCAGAGTCACAGAAAAGTTATGTCTTATTGATTTGTCCAACTTTCAGATATATATATATATATATGTATATTATATGTTATATATATATATATATATATATATTCACACCACTTTTTGTCTGATGATCGCGTAAGTGTGAAACTCAGAGTCAGAGAAAAGTTGTCTTATTGATTTGTCCAACTTTCAGATATATATATATATTATGTATGTGTATATATATATATATATATTATTCACACTACTTTCGAACAGCAAAAATGAAGCATCAGCGCATACTCGATCTTTGACAGCTGCATAAGCTTAATTTTATACCATTCCAGATAATCATAGCTTTTGACTTATTTTGTTGACATATACTGTGACCTGTTAATGTCAACAAAAAGCATCATGGCTAAAAAAGGTCTTAGAGGTTTTATCTAAATTCAAAAGGACTCAAATATGTTGGCCAAAATCCGAGCTATTGAAAAATAAAAAGTTTAAATCTCTGAAAGATTTTTCTGAGTTAGAATTGACACGTGAAAAGTAATCTACTTACCCCTCGCGTTCCAAGGAACACCATGCCGGCGGCGATTTGTTTGGCAAACATCACAAGATCGTAGTTGGTCAAATCCTGGGCTCTTCCCTCACCAAGATAATACCGATCCCTCACCCCTCGGCATTTTCTCAGGTAACCAAGCAGGTCACCACATGGCATGTACTCCATGATGAGTATTGGGTGAACTTAAGTGACGTAAAACAAAAGAAAAAGTAAATAAACCCCACGTCAAGGCTCCTTACTGTATATATAAAAAAAAAATTTCCGGATGACTTTCTTCATAAGCAGTTTAGCCTACACGAAGGACTCATTTTTCGTTATCAACCCTCATCAAAATTTACTTTTAAAAATTTGCCATAGGTTAAAGGGAGAAAGCCGGTTAGCCCATTTAACGAGATTTCAGGCTATCCGACCGAGATCTTAGTAAACTGCCGATGGATACATGCTCTTGGAGAAAAACAGTCTAGTTGCCACAAAAAAAAAAAAGAAACTTCGTTCCATTAACATTTTATTTACGGAACTCATGTTAAGAGGTCCTGAGAGGGTTTATTCAGCATTTGTACCATCGTTAATAACATATACCTAGAAAAGATGCTGTACGCTCAGTACTTACTTTCTTTCGTAACACAGCCCATGAACTTTACAATGTTTGGCGGAACGTTTTCACCGATAAGTTTCCCCAGCTCAATTTCCCTCATCAGACATATCCTTCCTTCCTCTCCAGCAGTGGCTACAACAAAAGTATAAATTAATTGAGACACATTCTGATTAATGCATTTGTTCCACGCAAGTTCAAGCCAGAAAGAATCCGGAAGAGTTACAAACCTCGCATCTTCCTATTACCGTTTGAATGATAATTTTCGCAGCTAGCAGATTGCCCAACTCTCTGACCTCAGCCACGGCTGAGTTGACTGTGAGTATAAAGGCCGAATCGAAACCAGTTGAGGTTTGAATCCTATCAATAGTTCTTGCTTTCTTTAGTTTTACTATCAATGCAGATGCTTCACTTTGGTTCGGTAAATGTCTTTTGACAGCGAAAAGCACAGTGTAGTCAGTCTGTTAGACTGCCCCCTTCAACCCGGGATAATCAGTCACTAATAAGGGGAATAGGTCCAAAGGAAGGAAAAAAAAGCCTACTGGATTCAGCAGCGGATCAAGAGGGAGGAACCAACGTATTTGCAACACCCCCCGGGGGAGGGAATGTTGCGCATTGTGACCTTTTACACTACTTGTTGGAAACAAGAATTATTGCAACAAACTGGTTTATTATCTTCTTTGTTTGTTTGCTCCTCCCCCCGCCTTCTCTTTTTGTTTCCCGCGCGTAGCCTTGAGTGAAGAAGAGGGGGTTGTGCGTTGGTCGGGAAGTAATTTTGGACCACCCCTTCCCTCCCCCACCCCCTCCCCAAATAAAACATTTTTATAACCACCCCTGAGATCAACATATTTATCAATAGAACACATTTAAGGAGGCTTACGCGTGAAACATTTAGCGGCCACTGTCCGATTTCCAGGTTGTCCATTTGGTGAACTCAGGAGAGCTCTCCACACGGCTCCGAACGCCCCTCGTCCAATGACATCTTGTAGCAGGACACGGTTAACCGCAACCTCCCACTCATCTACCTCTGCATTCAATGGCTCCATCTGAATTGCCTGCTCTTGATCAGGACTAAATATAGGAAATCAACATTGTATACTTTCAGGTTAAAAAAAAAAGAAAAGAGAAATCAGAGGGTAAAAAAATTGATTTGGCGGGATAACTTGATTGGCGAGATAATCTCTCTTGCCGATAGTGAGAAAACAATGTTTTTACTAAACCAGGAACATAAATTATTACAAAACATATTAGCAATTATTGTTATTTAAGTACACTTTGTCAATCGGATGAAGTTCAACATTACCTTTGTTTGTTAAAATCAAACAAGAAACAGTCGGTTTTAAAATCAGAAATTTTACGCGCATTTCAATTTTTTTTTCAAAGTATTTAATCTATGAACTAATCTAACTGAAAATAGATGGAAGATACTAATGAGATAAAAAAAATTAAACAAAGGAACTAATGAAGCTGATTCCAACAACACTTGATAATTGTTAATAATGCATCATACACACGATAAGCACGATAAAAGTAAAGTCACTGCGATATGATTTTTGTTATCGTCATCATGGTAATGGTGTAGTTTTTTTTTCTTTTTTCGATGAATTTGATGAATAAAAGGTAAAATAGTTGACTTACAGAGCCATAGCTGCAATTCCAAATGATGAATTAAAGAGGATAAAGAAGGTAAAACTTTGCATTAATTTATAAAATCGAATATTCTGATAAAATTTCTGTATAATGGCAGTATAATTTGAATTTGGACAAATTAGGAGTGACGTGATATTTGCTGAATTTATAATTGTTATCAAAACATATACAGATGTGAAGAAACTCTACAATTAGCATTTTTTGGCCGAACACGGGTAATTCTTATAAAAGTATCTCTATTCTTAGACTTATAGATTGGTGTTCCTTAGCAGACATGTTAAATAAGTTTAAACATTTCCTTATTTTACTTTCAGTCAAAGAAATCTGAAATAACACAGAAAAATGGACGTCACCTGTCCTTCGACGCTTGCAGAAATACCAGGCAATTAGCGAGATGACAGTCGCTGCCGCCACTGATCCACCAATGTAATACCACAAAGCGTTGAAACTTTGCATAGCTCGTGGCACTTGCTCAGCTAATCGTGTAAGATAAATATATGGCCATTAGACAAATCTCGACGGTAGTAAAAGTAACATAAAGATTTAGCCAAGCCTAAAAGCGGAGCTCGCATTTTTTTTCCCGCACGTCTCAAGGGCACAACGCGTTACCCCGGCCAGGATTAGAACCCGGGTAGTTCGACTAAGAGCCCAGTGCACTGACCACTGGACTACTGGACAAAGCCGTGGCGCTAGTGTGCCCGCGGTACAGTTGAACACGCATGTTAAAAGTAGCACGGTCGTACGGTCGTACATCCAAATTTTTTCGGCTTGATGGGTTATTACTATTTTGTATAATTATGGGGCTACGCTCTGCGAGCTCTGCTACTGATAAAATTCAAGTTTTACACCATTATCGTGTATCAATCTTTGCTCTTTCGGATGGTGAGTCTTCATCTTTTTTCCAAGTTACATTTATTGTTTCACCAATGAAAATTTTTCATAAGATCATGACTCCTTGGTTCCTTGGTCTTCGATATTTTTAAAGGAAACGGGTGAAAAGAGAGAAAAAAATAGGTCTATTTAAATTTGGCTTAAACTTCAAAACCAAACGCTTTGTTAAGCTACAAGCTTGATTAATGACATAAACTACAATATGGAATTTACCTGTGACATCGATCCAGAAGGAATATTTTGCTTCGCCATAATCATTTCTAGCAGTACATTCATAATAGCCTTTATCTTTAAGCGTCGCTTGTCTAATAACCAAGAAGTTGTTTTTACTAATTAGCACTCCATCCTTGGTCCAGTTAACAGATACTTGTGGATCACCTCTCAAATAACACTCTTTTTTAAATGTGGAGTCAAATGCAACGATGAGATTTCTAGCCTCATTACGAACACGGGGTGGAACTGCAAAATAAGCATGTAAACACAAATTACAAAATTTAGAAGCCGCCCAACCTCCCTCCCCGCAAAAAGAAAAAATAATTATTAATAGCAATAGTAAATAACAATAAAAAAGAAGGAAAAGAAGACAATGAGCCACTTTTTTATCATATCAAACAAATCCTTCCAAAAACCACATCAGTCAGGCTATATTACTAACTTAGCCATGAAATCATCAAATTGTTAGAGTGAGAACAAAGGAACAATTGTAAAGACTTTCCAGTTCTTCGCAATAAATAACTAGTGAAGCACTCTGAAAAAATTATTCATTCAGGACCTGTTCCTCACTGGTGAATCAGTCGCAGATAATAGCTGAAAGCCCTTGCATTTTTTTAAAGTTTCCGATAGTTTTCTACAATTACCTTTACCCTTAGCTCAGACCCAGACACCTTAATCTAGAGTCGGACCCACTGACTATTGATCCGCACTCCGTAGACATATCAAATGCATGATTGAATTATAATACAGTTGTGAGCTTTACAAACACACCCTTTACAGAAATGTTAATGCCTTTTCTAGAATTGCCTGCTTCATTCTCTGCCCTACAAGTGTACCGCCCTTCGTCCTCCTTTGTTATCTCAGAAAAGAAGAGAGACAAACTCTGTCCTTGCAATGTATTATTCTTGAGCCAGGTGATCCGTGGTTCAGGCCGACCCGCCACAACTTTACACGTCAAGTTTACACTGTTTCCTTCTACGATGAGATTGCTTGCTCCAGAAATATCCACTTTTGGTTGAACTAAAAGGTAAATAAATAACATATTATTGGAAAATCGGAGGTATTCCTATATCATTTGCATTAAACGCATTAGACACCGTAACTAAATGAACATTTGATGATGACAGTAGCGCTTCATATGAAGTATAATCGTTTGTCAGATCGCGAACCTTTCGAACTTCGTATCGAGGTCTACATACTCCTATTATCTCGGACCACCAGTTTACGTAAGACAGAAGGCGCAGCCATGGGGAGTCTGGTCTCCGCCGTTATTGCTAATCTCCACATATAGAGTTATAGGAGCAATCAATAACCTTATCATCTTACCAGCGAAGGATCTCGAAACGCTATGTTTATGACACATTCACAATCTTGGTTCGCGAAAACGCTGATAGCTTCCTACAGCATTTGCAGAACCGAAAGCATTCCATTCACTTCATTGATGTTACAAATAGTAACAACACACCCGCCATCTATGGCACTGCATCTTTAAAACAAGAGCCCGTGGTTTACAAGATTCCATGTGAGTGCGGCAAAGTTTAGATCGGCGGAACAGGCAGACCTATGGAAGTAAGGTTAAACGAGCAATATGGCAGATCGAGAAACGACATGCCAAGACAAAGGCCTCTGCAGTTTCAGAAGACACCTGGAAACCACCTGCTCTGGACTGAAGTAGAGTATATTGATAGTGATCCTATTACTATTAAACGCAGGGTAAAAGAGGCCATCCACATGAGACTTTGCCTGTTACAGCATAAATTGGACATTGGGATAGACATCCCAGAAACATGGATGCTGACCACAAGAAACACAAAAACAGGATAACTTTGCGACAGTGAACTTCGGAAGAACATTTGGTCAAAGCGTGCCAATCGAAACCTATGTGGGATTCCAGCGAATCACAGCCAAACAGAGAGTTTCATAAGGTCATGCATATCTACCGACCTTATAGCACGAAGAAGACACAAGATGCCGTCAAAAAGTCGCGATCCATATCCAAAGTGACTTCATGGCGAGATAAACGATTATATTGCATTCAGAGAGTGAATTTGTCACCAAGACCAACCGAAGTCGATTTAAGCACATTACCAGTTTGGAGAGAAACTATAAACTTCATCAAAGAGCACTTACTTTGAGTTATGACGAGGAAACTACACTGTTGATAAATAACTTGAGTATTATTTTTTAACATGACACCCTACTTGCAAACAACTAAAATCAACGAACACATCCACGATAAAATGTCGCCTCACATATCTGCGAATATGGACAGCGAAAAGGTTTTAAATTGAGTAAATTAAATTAATTACATTTGAAGAACTGACTTTATGACTTTCTATCTATTATCCCATTGGTCACTCACTTATAACTGACACTCGAATGTCTTTATCTTTGCTTGTGACCCTCTTTACTCCTTTAGTTTGTTTCATAGTACAGGTATAATTTCCATCGTCTTCAGGCCGTACAGAGTCAATATGCAGGCTACCGTCGGATACTTGAGTGAATCGTTTCGGGTTTAAGGACTTTCCTCCTTCCTTACTCCAAGAAATCTGTGGATTTGGTTTTCCATTAGCACTACAGCTTATAATGCCAGACTTGTTCGCCATAACAGTTTGTCGGTTCAACGTCTTCTCAGTAAATCTTGCTGTCGAAAGGAGTAATGAAAAGTACTAATATCATAGCTACTCTTTTGAAAGGTCAGAGGTGTACTTGTCTTACATGACATTGTCATGCATGTTAAGCCTATTTCTGCAATATAAAAGATTTGTTTTCATACCATTAATGTAGACAATATAATATTGAACATATTCCAATCTCTGGCATTCATATATTCCTCCATCAGACAGTTGCACATTATCGATGAACAAATCACCATTCTCGACAGCCCTGACCCTTTCAGAAGTAGAGTTTGTTATTTCAAGCTTTCGCCCATTGATGACCCATCTAGCATAATTGGTTTTATTGTGTATAGAGCAGTGAAGCTTTTCGCTGCTACCAATATCAAAATAGAGTCTGCCTCTTTTCGACACTTTCTTGTTCTCTGCAAAGTTTAGAAGATGTTGTCAAAATAAGTAAAATTTTTTGTAACTAACACTACAAGAAGAGATAGAAAAGATGAATATATTTACCTGTACTAAAGCCTAACTTGAGAATTTTTTTAACTTTGTCGTACTTAAAACTAAGTCACATTACTCCAAACAAAGTCGTGTCAGCCATTAGTAAAGTAATGAAACTTTTGAAAAGAATTATATCGCATCCAAGAAAGGTTATGTAACCCATTAAAAAAAATTAGGTAACCCTCAACTGAAGTCAGGTGATCTTATGAGAAGTCATATTACCTTCATGAAAGTCATGTAAACCCTAGCTAGCGTCATTTCATCTCAAGACCAAGCTGAATCATCTATGAGGAGGGTAAGTTCCTCAAGAAACTGTGATGCTGCGTCGGTGGGGGAGTATAACACCCGCCACTGATGACGAAGGGCTAACACTCGAAATTCAGCTTTGAAACTCTTTACGGGGGCAAGTTTACATTATAAACTCTGTTAATAAAATCAAAATCATCTAAGTCATTTTTACCCTAAACTAAGTCATGTCATCCCCAGTCGAAGTCATCTCGCTATCTTAAGCGTAAAATCTGCGAACAGATATATGCTTGTCCGCGAGCAGAATACTTTAGCAGAATGTTTTTAGAAATGGTCTTCTGGTCATCTGTGTATCTCAATTTACTATGATTTCTCTCTACTTTAGAGGGTCAATGAGAAGAAGAAAGGCAACCACGAAAACCAGAATAACTAATCAGACCTAAAAAGCTAGTTGCTTACTTGGTTGACACAACGCTTGAGAACCCATGTCATCCAAATGACATTGAAGTGGAATATTTAACCTTCCATCAATGCGATCGCATGATGCAAGTTGAAACTCTTCTCCGGTGCAAGAGACATCGGACATTGCAGAAGGTATTCCCTTAGCCTTTACGTCTGACCCAATGAACTCCGCTAAAGCCTCTTCAAAGCCAAGTTGACGACAAATAACTTTGACATCATTAAAGTCCCATTCATTCCTACATATCTTTGCCCATTTCCCCTCGTAAAACACTTCCACTCTTCCTCCATACTCCACATTTGCGCCATTCAAGCGAACAGGAACTTATGAAATTACAAAAAGTTCAATCCGTTAAGATGGAAAACACTAATTATCAAGAATCAAGAATGCCTATAAATCACGAATTGATAAATAGTTCATGCCAGTCTAAGTGTTTTGTTTTAAGGGAAATTCTGCATGCAAATTATTCAGAATTCGAACGTTGGCCGCATCGTTCGTTGTCTAATGTGGTTCACAACATTTATATAGTTTCCTTGCTGAAATGTTTTACGACAAACCTCTTTTACATTGCTTCGTGACTGTGTTTTAAATTGTAAAACTGGATTTTTCTTCAAAAATTTTGGAACATTCAAGACGTGTTTTCTTTGCCTGGAAGCGTTTACTTTAGGAGAACACAAAAGTGTGATTTACATTTTAAACTAGAGAGTCATTTTTAAAGCATTTCTCTCGGAATAATCAAGAAAAAGGCGTTTAGTTAAGTATAAGTAGTGTGAAAAATTGTGAAATTCCCTTGTTGCACGAAAGAGAGAGAGAAAAGGAAATAAGAAGGATGCAATAGTTTGAAGGAAACTTAGTGAAGAGTTTGGAGGTTATGAAGTTCATGAAACCCAAATGCATAACTGTGCAGCTAGGTTCTTCTTTCGACAGTAATTCAACTATAATCGTCTAAGGGTGTAAACAGTAGAAACCAGCTAGATTTTTAGCCATATATACCTTTTTAGAACCTAAAAGATACCCGAAGATGAACAATCATTGATCTCGCAAAAGCTTTCATATCTGGAGAGTAAGTAAATCTATCAAGTTACCATCTTTGGAGATCATGTGGATATTACATGAGTGCAATTCACTATTACCTTTGCAAAATTGTTGTTTCTTTTCCGAATTGTTTTGACATGTGGTGGGAATGGTACAGTTGTAGTGGGTGGACATCTCGGAAGCATTGCCACGTTCTGCGTACCATGTGCCATTAGCATAGACACCGTTGTTATAGTAGCCCATGGCCATGCAGGTTAAATTTTCATCTGCTTCATCCCATTCACTGGTACAAAGCTTTTGCCAGCTCTTGTTTGAGAATACCTTTATTGTACCGACAGATGGGTTCTTCTCTGTTTCAGAACGCAGGGCCAATTCTTTAAATATTAAAAAAAAATTCATAAAGATAACAATAAACAGCGTAAACTACTTCAGCATAGGTAAATTCTTCTGCTGATGATGTCTCCATATAATTACCCATTAAGATTTCTTTTCAGTTTATGGTGGAAGAATTTCCTATTTCGCTAACATGATTTTCTTTACCAGCAGGTCAATGCCAAAACGTTATTTAGTAACTGAGGCCCTCGCATTTTTAAACATGTTTCTTGTCATTAGATGATAGTTAGAATTACCGGATTAGCTAAAAAAGTGTTGCTTACGGGCAGTCCAACGAAATTGGTAGTCGCCATTGCGCAGATAGTGCAGACTTCTGACAGAGTGACCAGAAACATCAGCAAAAACTTATGCCAATAATTAAATACCTATATTGTAGTACTAATGATAGTGGAGATTTGTTTTATTTCTTTCAAGAAAAGTATGGTGAATTCCGTAGATGTACAGAGTTTGTTCATTCATGAGGGATTTCTGACTTATAACGAACTCCTTACTTTTAATAATTTGTGCATTTAACATATTTGGCCTGGATGATTATGTGATTAAAGTTCAAACTCAGCAGTTCCATTCATTTGTTGTTATTCTAACTTTTATTCCTGAATTTTCTCAGTTTTGTTTCAAAATAGAAGTTTTTATCCACTGAAATCAGAAAGGCTGCAATTTGTATGTTACCTTCTTGGCAACTGGACATGTTGCTACATTCTCTCAGCTGTGCTCCGGTCCCATCGCATGCGCAGTGTCTCCAACCATGTGCTAGTTGTAAATCAATACATTCTCTCTTTCTTGTTTGTATACCACCAACTGGCTTGGTACAGTTACTCCAAGAGTTCCACTCACTCCAGCCACAATCCATTAACAATGCTGTAAACAAAAACATTTGATGAACAGCCATATTTCTAACAATCAGGTTCCTTGAAGTTCTTCATTTGATTTGACGGTATCAAAAGAACTTATGCTTCAAGTAATTACTTGTCATTTTTCATTTGTAAATAGCTGTTGGACTAAAAAGTTGTTCTAGCACTGCATAACCTTGGTCCGACTGCGAAAAGATGGCCATCTGCCAAGAAAACAGCTCGAAAATGTTTCCCAATCATCTCAAATTACTTTTCTAACTTTCCTTTAAACAAAAACCATAGTATTGACGAAAAATTTAAACTGCAATATAATTTCAATAACACCTCGAGTATGTCGCAAATAAATCGCAGACTATGACTACGAAAAGCTTGTTTTTTCTATATGTAATTAGCGATGACGTTCGACATTATGAAATTGCGCATTAAACGGTGTTCAACCAACTCAACTATACCTTTGCAAAATCACGAAAGATCTGCAATTACACAGTGATTTTCCAAAAAATAACAGATTCTTTTTTCTATACTTCCTTTTTTCTTTAAGAGGTTAGCCAAGCCAATTCACATTACGTCGGCTATGAATTCTCCAGAGCAATGGCTATAAAGGTTTAAGGTGGCCCACCGCTATTTTCTTTTCTAGAAAATGTTTTTTGACCCTGCAAATCTGATAATATCTTATTTTATCCGCACTGAGATATGATGCGTTATAAAATCTTAAATTTTGTTATTCTGAATGCCAAATATCTAAGAAAGCGGTTAACGTTTAAATGCCGAAACTTCGGACCTTTAAAACGCGGACCTTTTTTAAACTGTGAGTTGCATATGATTAAGGTGTATACATCTTTTCCTTACCCTTAGTAACGTTGGAACCGTTTCCAATTATTGGACACCACGTGACGAAATTTTACGGGGCTATTTCGAGCTCACGTTACCTAGCAAAACCAAATCGCAGGCCCAAGTTTTTCGAGCATATGAAGTTTAGCCCCACGTGGCAAGATGTAGCCCAGATGTAATTTGCGTGGGCAGCGACGCTGATTTAGAGTTAAGGAATGTGCTGTGTGGACGAAAGAAAAATGATTACCAGGATCTTCACAAGACAGCCCAACGAACTCTACTGTAAAGAAAGTGCTGCAAGCTAAAATCGAACTTTACTAGGAAATGAGATTTTTGAATCGGAGTATAAGACTGATTAATAGCTAGTAGGGAACTCATTGTCAAATTCGATTGGGCTATAGGTCATGAATGATCTTGTCAGTGTCTCGCGAGCTGTAACAGTCGAAATTAGAGACCTTAAGATCGAGGTTTGGCCATCTTACCGCAAACGCTAAACCGCGGTTTGCAGTTAGCGGTTTCACGTTAGCCGTCTGCCCATATTTGGGACTTAAGATCCGCGTGTGATAGCACTGGTGAATTATGCCTTGTCAATCTTTCTCGGCATCCGCGCCCCTTTAGTTCAACTCTGTTGCTGTCGGAACTAAAGACTTCACTGAGAATAGTTGCTAATTCATCCCATTCCTGATGCGTTTGTGGCTTTCTGGAAGCAACTTCTTTAGCCAGGGCAATGTCATTTTTAAGGCTTGGCCATCTGAACGGAGCCATCTAGGAAACAAAGAATGCATTTACATATCATCAGAAATCTGCTTTTGTTGTAATTTGTTTATCGTAGTTTAACCATAAAGTAATCTGACTGGCAAATCAGTTCCAACAACAAATAGCCGGCTGCCATGTTTGTTTTCATTCGTTTGTTCACTTCTATTTTAGCTGAGAAATCGTCTTCAAAATCACGTTTCTATAAAAAGAATTCGATAATTAATAAGCGAAATAGTTCTAAACAGTAGTATTTCCTCTCAAACGTGGGATTGTGATGTTTTAGGGTGCAAAAAAACTTGCGGTAAATCACTTACCTCTAGAGCGTGGTCTTGATGTACAAACGTGAACCTCAAACCGCAAACCTGACGGCAAGGCTCTGGTCACGTGACTTCTTGACGTTCGCGGTTCGCGGGAAATGCCGAAAAACCTCAATCTTAAGGTCTCTATTCTCCAGCGAAATAAGCGTGGTCTGCATGATCTGCACGGTCTGCGGTCTGCGTTTTAGCATGACCGTAGTTGCATGAATGCGCGTGAAAGCAGTTAATACGATTTGAAAGGGATTTTCAACAAATGGATTCTGGATTCATTCTTTAGCGGAATTCTGGATTCCAATGCCCAGTATTCCGGATTCCACAAGCAAAAATTTCATGGATTCCGGAATCCAGATTTCCTTACATAGGGCGATTCGCCGTTGATTCGAAGATAGAACAGTGGGTTTAAACTACCTGTCAACGGCCGAGTCATGTTTAAAAAAGCAGGGCTGACCGTAGATTCTATGAGCTCTGAAAAGAGCTCCCCATCAACACGCTGTATTTCTTTAATGGTGTACATGGCAGAGTTCTAGATTTTTGAGAAGATCTTGTTGTTTCTGTTGCTGCAGCAAACGAATAGTGTTACGATTTACCTGGTGTGATAAACGTTGCCAATGGTTACGTTTCCGAATTCTCTAAATTCTAAAGCTTGCGAAGGCGGTATTGTTCATGCAGTTGTAATTTCAATGCTTAATTGTAGTGGCTTGCGCGCTATTGTTTACGGAGGCAGAGGTTTGCATATACCAATACACTCTCGGGAGTTTTACAAATCGGTCAAACGTGCTCCTCGACGTAAAATTTAGGATGGGCAGAGGTTGCTTCGAAAAAAATCGGTTTTGATAGTACTTCTAAGCCTCGTACGGCCGAGAAAATTTTCATAAGCCCTCCTGAGACATAGAAGTAACTTTTCCATATGCTGACTCTGAAGTTTCGCGAATAGTTCCTCGGATTTTTTAACCTGGAGATCAGCTTCCATACCGAAGAGCATCTAAAATTGCCATTTTTCAAAGAAGTTTCTATAATGGTTATAGAAACCGCAGAAAACAAACTTTAGTATAAATTTGTTCATTAAAACCTCTTCTACAAAATCCATATGATGGTAAATAGCTAAGGCAGTTAGTTTTTTATTAAGAGTGAAAAACGCAGGCGTAAGTGGGCGATTTATAGCCATTTTCTCTATTGTTTCGCTCTCTTTTCTTGAAGGACTGTTCAAATTTACCGCCGATGGACTTAAAAGATGTGTCGCGCCATTCTGCGCGATGGGTGAAAAATGTGTTGGGAGAACATATAAAAAATTGAGAGCCCGTAAAAATAGTTTTGAAAACTGAGGGGAGCACACAAAACAGGAAAAGTGGGTTAGTAGGGAAACTCTACAAACAAAAAGCGGGCTTTAGCCTCAAGTTCTCTCCATTTGCAATCCATTTTACACATGCTTCTTCATTTCTTGTTGTCCATGTTACTTGGTCGCTACTTAAGAGTGCTCTTACTAAAGGCTGGTTTTCACTGGCGACGGAGTCAGAGTCGGAGTCGGAGTCGGAGTCGTAGTCAGGGTTGTAAGAGCACTTCCGAGCGATTAAAAACTGAAAATCAGAATCATAAGAAGAGTCATAAGCTCGACAGAACTTGACTCAGAAGAATCAGAACGGTTTCATTTTTTCCGTGGTGAAAACTAGATTGTCACAGTCGCGAGTAGGATCGGAAAAAACAACCAATCACATGCCAGTTCTCAGGCCCTTCCAGTACAGTCTTCCTCCTACGACTCTGACAATTCTTCAAAGGATCGTAAGCGACAGAGTCGTAAGTGGTAACGGTATTTTTCTTCTGATTCTGTCGGTTTGATTTTCACTTGATCGTATCGCTGTTTGCTTATGATTACAAATCCGACTCCGTCTCCGTCGCAAGTGAGAATCAGCTGTAAGGTTTATCAGGACTAAGCGATAAGGAGCATGTCTTCTTTTAATGGAGAGGAAGTTAGTACATAGAAGGTAAATACCAATGCGCAGTTTGATGCACCGAGCACTCGGCCACATTCCCCTCTCTACTTAACAACATTTAGAAGTCCCTTTCAAGTTGAAGTATCATGAGAGCTGATTTTAATGGCAAAGCGCATGAAATTGAAATTAGAAACCACCCGGAAAAGGCTTATAGAAGTAAGCAAATAAGA